AGCACAGTGCTACCTAGACCATCGATATTCATTGCCTCCTCCACAAGCTGAGCCTGCCTCTTGCGTCGTTCCGCCTCTCGAGCAAAGAATTCTTGATCGGCTTCGTCATCAGTTTCATCATCACTGGCATTGACAAAGAGACTGCTTTTGATTTTCCTCTGTCGTTCCAGCGCATTCTGTTCACGAGCAAGTCGTCGAGCATTCAAAGTCTCCTCATCTAGCTGGTGGTCCTCATCAGCGTCTGTCTTCTTACGCCTTTTCTGCTTCAGTTCCTTCAATGCTTTTGACTTTGATCGGGGGTTTGGAGGGAAGAGGATTTCATCAAGTCCCAGATCCTCTCCCTCGGAATCATTGCCAAAGTTAACCTGGGTTGTAGCCTCGTCATTCGTGGATTTGGCAGCTATGCGTTTCCGAAGTATGAGTTTGTGAGGGTCAACACCGTCAATCTCAGTGGCAGGATCGTCACAATGTTTCTGAATGGAGTTGCGCGTCTCCTCAAGTTCTGTAGATGGAATAGAGCCTGGGATGCTCCAGGGGGTGCCCAGTACATCTTCGCCCACCAACTCTAGGCCGGCTAGTGTGAAAAGAAGACGTAAGCGGCCATTTCTGAACAAGGCCGTTTTGCATTTCTCGTCAGGAGCAGAGACTTCTATAATGATGTTAGCATAGGGTAAATTCAAGGTAAGCTGCGTACAACCATACCTATTGCGGGTGTGCTAGGTGCGATATCTGCAATGTCAGCAGCATCTTGTATTCCCCGTGCTAGATCTGCGAGATCCCAGCTTTTCCTATCCTTGAGGGCATTATCAAGGACCTCACATAACCACCGAACCAATGGCTCGCAGTTATCTGCAACCAAGACAGACACAACGATTCGGATCTTTTCATCGGCGGTCCTAGTATAATTTTGCTTCACTTCCAGTTCTGCAGCGGGTCGGGATGCTCCTGACACAGTTTGCTTCTCTTGGCCATATTCCAAATAGTGTACTGTGGCAGGAATCTTGCTGAACAGTAGTTCCGTGATGAGCTCTGGCCGCTCATCAATCTTTTTGAACAGCTTTTTTTAGAATTTGACGAACAAGTTCTTCCCATTCTCCGAACGCTGGGCTTGACGACAGTAGCCCTTCCGGTCCCTTAATCATCCTAGTGAAAAGGGCGATTATGTCCAACCTAAATAGTAGCACACTCAATTCTTGTTTAAATGCAACTCTGTAGAAGAACCGGTGCGCTCGTTTCAGCTGTTCGGTATTCAAGTCGCGATAGTAGGACGTCAGTGCAACAAACGTGTTGACCGAGTTCTGAGTGCAAAATTTATTACAAAACCTCTTGAAATCAAACGATCTCTCTGCGACGTTTCGAACAGCTTCTGCTCTGTCTTTTTCTTCTTCATCTTCCGAGTTACCAAATTCGCCCTCCTGGTCCTCCTGGTTTCCCTGAGCCTTGTTTTGCGCCTTCTTCTTCCGCCTTGATATTCGCTTAGAACGGACTTGCATGTCCACGTTTTGCTTCGAATATTGCTCTAGCATGCGTAGGAAGACATGAGCGAGCTCTGTACAGGCATCAAGATACCAAAATCCTTGTCCTTTATAACCTCGGAGGGTAGACAATATTCTATCATGCGTTGATTCTTCATAGAAAATGCGGCTGAGGATATTTTCAGCAATTTCTTGATCCTCCTCAAGAGCAGATTTGCTCATCTCTTGAACCGTAAGCAATGTCTGTGTGAAAGACAGCATCCCAGCACTGAGATCCTGCCACTCTTTGTTGTCAAGGCTAGCTTGCATATATCGATTCAGGGCAATGAAAGTTTCCTGGTTTAAAACACTTGCTACTAAAGCAAAGCTATCAGGCTCAATATCCCTCGCAGAGCCAGTGGCCTTTCGGCGAGCCTTCTCTTGTTGTTCGCGCCGCGCACGTTCAGCGCTTAAAAACCAAGAGCTGACGAAAAAGAAATGGCGAGACGAAGATTCACTCAAACGGTCGGACTCTCGTTCCATAGCTTTTCGTATACTAGTCATCAAGGGATTGAATCCTGAATCAAGAAACTCCTCAACAAAAAGTCGAAGATAATTGAGGGCCGACGAGGTCAAGTGAACTTGCACATTGAAATTGTTTGACGTTTCATCAATCACTGGCCGTCTTCCTCTCGGTTTGTTCCACTTTTTTGTTTTATCCATTTTATCAAAGGCCGCTTGGTCATTAAGCAGAACGTCTTGGCCTGATACAGAGGACACTTTTGCAGCGTCTCGTTTTACCCAAATCATGGTCCCAAACCTACCATGACGGGTAGGGGCATTCTTTGAGCGATCACGATTTAAATTGCTTTCTGCGGCCATCAATCCCTTCAGCTCATCGATACGTGTTGCACTCCGTTGGTTATCATCCATAAACAGCTGCCGCACGTCAACACCCTTGACAAGATGAAATAATATCTCGAGGAGAATAACGTCCTGGAAGGTAAACTCTTCTCCGATGTTCGAACATAATGTAAGAATCAGGGCAAAGACATCTTGATCATGGAATGCATTGATTGTCATTGACCTCGAGGCCTCATCTTCATCTCCCTCAACGGCTAGATTTGGAGTCGCACCTAGAATCACCACATTTCTAAACAGATATAGAACAAGTTTTAAAATGCCTTCATCTCGGGATGATCGTTCTTCACGGGGGGTAGTTATACTTGGGAGACCTATGCGAATAATCGACCGGAGAATTGAGTTAGAGGGGTGAGCCAGTATTCCTGTTTTATAAGAGACTTGGGCATGCTGTAGATAAGGAGTGTGTCTGTGGTGATTAACAGTCATCTCGCTATGTATTTCGACCGGCCATGTCAACGGTACGAGGAGCTCTACTAATCAGATATTAGCCACGCCCCAAAATCGAATGAACCAGATGGTGGCTCACAGCACGCTAAAGTTATCCTTGACTTGTACTTGTCGGTCGGCTTGACTTCATCCCATAGAGCCAAGATTGGTACTAAGTCCCCGTTGACAAGATTACTCTCAGCAATGCATCTCGAAACATCTAGCCGGTTCAATTTCTCGTCGTAGAACCGCAGCCATTTTTTAAGGTCACGCAGACAACCCAGGGCATCGTCTCCAAGTATATATCGTCCGGCTTCGTCGTTCGCGGAACCACCGAGCTACAATGAGATAGTCAGTACTGGCATGTTCAACATAGTCACGCTATAGAAGCAGGGTGTCATACCGCCGTAACCAAGCCGTAGATGAATGATCGCACTTCAGGGTCAACCACCTGGTCACCTGGCTGCGCTACAAATGGCTCGCCGTCCATTATTTTAGAGAAGGTAGAAATTCAATGAATTGTATCTGGCATTTCGTTATTAACATGCCATCACCTTGGCCCGCAAATGAGGATTTAATGTCATCGTTCTGTCCTTATATTCACCGTCGGTCACTGCTGATTTCTCCAGTTCAATTAAACGCCAAACGCGCAGACGCGTCAATGGAACCTTAGGCGGCACGCGTCTCGGAGGCGGCTAAACTATGTCCCGTCAGTGCCGAAAATAGCCGCAGACCGGGAAAGTGACGTCGCCGAGGCTCAAAGCCACGTGAGCTTCTCCAAAACGACTTCTTCGACCTGAACAACGCAAGAAACCACCAACTTCTCGTCATTACTCTGGCTTGATTCGCTCATATATTGTCTTTTTTTAATACATTACAGTAGCCATAATGTTCCGAAGTGCGGTCGCAGGGCGCCTGTTGGCGACCACTCGGTCAATTGGCGGGGCTCGTGCGTTTAGCTCAACTCCTGCCGCACAGGTGGCCGCCGAAGTCAACAGCATAGGAGTCATTGGTGCCGGGCAGATGGTAAGGGCAATTGATTAATAGCAGCTTTACTTTACAATTAGTATGCTTTATCGCTAATGCCTACTCTGCATAGGGATTGGGAATTGCCTTGGTTGCTGCGCAAAAGGCAAACATCCCTGTCACTCTGGTTGACAACTCCCAAGCTTCCCTTGACAAAGGACTCAAATTTGCCGGTGAGAATCGCCCGAAAACCACCTCCACAAACTAGACAAAATAGACTTTGTATTGATGGGAGTGTAGAGAAACTGCTTGCCAAGGATGTTGCAAAAGAGCGCATTACACAAGAAACTGCCGATAAAGTCCGCTCAATGCTCACTCCTACCACAAAACTCGAAGATCTCTCAAGCTCCGACTTCATTATTGAGGCCGTACCCGAAATCCCAGATCTTAAGACCTCTATCTTCTCCAAGCTCGTTAAGATAGCCCCAGCCCATGCCATCCTTGCTACCAACACATCCTCCATCTCGATCACTCGAATTGCCGCAGCAACCACCGAGGATCCCAAGGATCTTTCTGGCCCATCCCGAGTTATTTCCACTCACTTCATGAACCCAGTTCCCGTTCAGAAGGGTGTAGAGATCATCACTGGACTGCAGACTTCTCAGGATACCATTGACACTTCTCTTGAGTTGATGAAGCGTATGGGTAAAATTGCCGCCCGATCGACAGACTCCCCTGGCTTCTTGGCCAATCGTATCCTCATGCCTTATATCAATGAGGCAATTAGCTGCTTAGAAAATGGAATTGGTACCAGAGAGGATATTGACAGCATCATGAAATATGGAACTAACGTCCCCATGGGTCCATTGACTCTTGCCGATTTCATTGGCATTGACACCTGCTTGGCCATCATGAACGTTCTACATCAGGAGACTGGGGACAGCAAGTACAGACCTGCTGGCCTGCTAAAGAGAATGGTTGATGCCGGCTGGGTGGGCAAGAAGGCTGGAAAGGGTTTTTACGATTATTGATTAAGCATCTAATACTGTCACACCAGTTAAGTGATGGTGTAAAGCAGCTGTTGGAGTTTGTAATTTATGACGAAAATAGATACTCCATGCTATGTACAAGTCAGATTAGGGAGAAAATAGAACCACAGTGAAAGCATTCAATATATATATTTGACATTTTTCGATACAGAAGGTTTAGTGCGAATATACGACTCCATGTTTAAAATCGAATTTCGCTATGATTCTTTGGGGGCTTAACAGGATTAGGTACCATGAACAGCTGAATATTAGCGAAGACAATTCTGCAGAGTAGAAGGTCACTGTAGACTGGAGAAAGAGAGAGCATAGGCTAATGAACAGCAATTAGGGTATAGCATAACGGTATATATACAAAAACGAATTTGCGCCTCAGTTCACCAAGCGCTTCCAGCAAAAGACACTAGGTCTAGCCCCCTAGAAATTTATCGATACACAAACTGCGACTGGTTAGGAACACGCCCCAGCCCATTTCTCGACCTACTTCGCGCTCGGCTTCCCGTAGCCATAGTACCTCCACTCTTGCGAGCATCAGAGCCACGACGTCTATACCCAAATTCGGTAAAAACAGGGGGCGGTGATAGAGGCGATTGGGGTGTTTCCCTGCCGCTTGTAATTGAATATGTTGTGCCTGAGTGGCTAGAGTTGTTTGCAGATGAATATCTGCTGCTAGAAGTTACTGTGTCCTTAATGGCGTCGGGGCCATTGATCAAAAACATCCTATGCTCTTCAAGAAGCCCATAACGTTTTTCAACGGCAATCTTGAACCACCGACGGTCCGAGATTACTGTGGAACTCAGCTCGTAAAGAGTATAGTTTGTCTCGCGTTGTAAATCCCCCAGCTTCTTCATGATGCCGCTCTGAAGCGCCGAGGATTCCAAACTGCCGTGGTATTCCAGTTCACTCATCTCCTCCTTATGAGTTTTTTCCAGTGCATCTTGTTCTCTCTTATGCGATGCATTAAGTTTGTCGAGTATTACCTTTTCTCTTTCCTCTCTGTTCGGCTTGCCCTTCAAATGGCGTTGCATTTGAACAAAATTATCATCTTCATCCTCCTCCTGGCGAGTTCTGAGTTCAAGCTTTGTGGCGCTTTGACGGGCCTCCAAGGCGCTTTTACGAAGCTTAAAATTCGATTCATACGCTTTTTCTAGCTTCACCCGCGTCTGGTCGAATTCTACCTGTTTTGAGACCGCTGCGACCTGGATCTGCTGCGCGCTGTCCTGATGTCTGTTGATGATCATAGACTGTTGAATCTTGTTGATCTTAGCTAGCTCTGCCTGGAGCCTCTGGATTTGGTTGGCTATCGATATAAGGCGTTTCATTTCTTTGTCGTGTTGAACTCGGCGTCTTCCATCATCTTGCCTTCTTTGTCCATCGCCGTCTGGGTAATTTTGAGTATTTTCTTTCCGCAATCGCTCCTCGACTTCTCGTCGCTCGCTGCGCTCGTTTTCTGCATTTACAGGGGCTGGCTGCGTCCTTTCACGATGCGTTATTGTGTCAGGCTCCACTTTAGGTTTTGTCCCATGTTGATTAGGTTGAATGCAGCCGCAGGTCCCACCCCTGGCGCCGCAGAAACAGCTGTATGCATTTAGTTAGATATTTTCATAGAACAAACAATGGGTGTATCATACCAAAATTCAGCACCGCAGTGACAGACCACGAATCCGGAGTCAGCAGTTAGATCTACCATTGCCTGGCATTTGTAACAGCGTCTCCAGCCGTTTGAGGCAATACTATCTACCCGTTCCGGATAAGGGGCTTGAGGGCAATGTTCGTTGCTCTGATGGGCTGTCCTTTGACAGGCAGTACATATCGACCATTTGCATATCGGGCATTTCTGTGTCGGAGCGCCCAACTTGATCTTTTTTGGAGGAATCCATTTTCCACAGCTTGGTGACGGACAATACCATCTGCTAGTTCGGGGTATAGCATACTCTTGTACTTTTAATTTGTATTCCTCCCGAAGTACGGAGTCCACATTGTGTAGGATCAATTTTGTCGGTATATCTTCCAGGCAACATTTTGGAGGGAACTTGCTCTCGTTATTCATAGCTGTCTCTATCATTCCAGAGAAACACGATAAGCAGTATTTGTGCGCGCACCCCAAAGGGACTAGGTTCTTGTCGAGTAACTCAATAAAACAGCTTGCACATTCTCTAAATGGTCAGATAGCTGATTAGTAACTGGTCAAGCAGCATGAAGAACGAGATCGGACGGTAAGGATGAATGTAGAAAAAACTTACCGAAAACTGTTGCGTTCCATGAGCCGAAGTTTGAGGTTCTTCGTGCCCCCCGTTGCTTTGACCCCCATACGACTAAACGTCGCTCCCGTTGCAGTGGACTCAGGTGAAAAGCATCGATCTAGATGGTTGTCTCCAGTGTGATCCTTTACAGCGGGTGCCTGGGTCCGTACCGGCAGTGAGGACCGGTCATCCCCCATAGATGTACCATGATTATATGTTGATGACGGCGGCGGCGGTGACTGTCCACCTCCGTTCTCACTGTGTTGGCCTGCAGATTTGGGAGGCCGTTCTGTGTCCAACGGCTGACTGATTATTTGAAGAAGCTCTGGAGAGACATCATCGGGAAACACATGGAGTTCCTGAGGACATGGTCGATCCGCACGGTGAGATGGTAGCTGGCCATTATCAAGCAATAGATCCTCCAACCCGACCAGCTCAGGCCACTCTGCAAGCCGGTCAGCATCGTCCACCAGGCCTTGCAGAGGAGCTTCGAGGTCGCGAGTCAACTGAGGAACCGACATAGGGTGATTTCTGGACAACCGAATGCCGTTTTCTGGGGTTCAACATTCAGCAACAGTTTCATTCTACCAAACCGAGCACCGACGACGTTGGTAGGAGGAATGCTAGATTTCAGCGACAATATCCGACGAGTCTTGTGAGAAGAGGTATTAAAATCGCAAAGCAAGACTCATTCACGTGGGGGGAAACAATAAAATATAAGAGTAAAACTCTTGGGGTGCATCTGCTGTCGTATAAATCTGGGGGAAAGCGGAGTCTGGAGAAGGACCGAAAGCCAACTGACGGCCATCGTTAGGCTGACAAAACGAACCGTCGGAGGGGGGGCCCAAAGGAGGGTGAGGCTCGCTAGGCTCCAACTGCTTTGACTTGACTGCATCAAAGTTCGTTTATTTATGGAATCCCAAGGCGCCGCTCGGTGGTTGGTTGGTCACTGTCTCCCTTGAATGCGAAAAGGAGCCTTGTATGTATCTGTATGGCGGAGGCCTGTCTACCCCTGTCAGCTGGGGCCGCTGCCAATCGATCTCTATGCATGGGGCAGTGCGATGGAGCAACGAGCGGCGATCGAACATGTCTGGATGGATGCAGCGTTCCGTACCTTTGTTGGACCCTTACTTGGTACGCTTTGTGAGGGATAAAAGATCCACACCGGTGAAAGGCACCAGGTAGATCACGTACTATATAATATGCACGACACATCTCCTGGACTGTGAACGGAGTGCGTCTGGCATGTATTAACGGCCGGATTGCAAATAAACCAAGGGGCGGCGTGAGCTGAATGTAGTTTTGCGCCAGAATTTAGATAACGAAGCTGGGCCTCGTATGCCGCCCTAGAAATATTTCTTTTGGGGCACTAATTGCCCCTGAACACCGAATAGGCGTGTCGCAACCCTGGACTACCGTGAGAGCATCAAAGTTATTTTTATGTAAGATGTTGAAGGTTGAACGAGTTGTTATATGTACTTCAACTGCTGTTGGCTGCGTACCAGTGTGGTGGAGATACAGCTCCATGTCTAACAAGGGGTCAGGAACAGCGTCTCAGGAACACCTGTCAGAGAATACCCGTCCTAGCTGAACCATGGTAGCGAACGGCCGACAAGTTTTGGCTAACGACATTGTGGTTATGTCCTGTGCATGTTTCGTTCCTCCAGTCACATGCATGGAGATATCGTGCTAGAGCAGCCACAATTCTCAGCATCGAGGAGGTGGATAATTGACGGCCTGGCGCCAGTTCCTTATCAGCAGCTAGACTGGGGTTTGATAGACTAAAGAGGTTGGATCGGAAAATTTCCAGCATGACTTGCGATAACAGTGCGGAGAGTTCCATATCCACCAGCTAAAATAGGGCGAAACCATGCTAATTGGCATCGCGTGCGTCCTGGTCCTGTGGAGGCAACAGCCATAATTCGCAGCAGTGCGCCCCTATCGTTGTTACCCACACCGGGCCGGCGCACGAGATCTGTTATCTACCAGGTTATGATGTGACATGGAGGACAGAATTGAGTTGTTTGTCCAATCAGCCCTGAGAACAGAACCTTGACTAAATGGCGTTTGGTCGTTTCATATGTTCTGGGCTGCTGTCGATGGTGGTCAACCGCGTGAAAGTCGTAAAATCAGAGACTGGGGATAGGCCTCGAAGATGTTAATCTAAATATTCCAAGTATTATACCTTCGGTCACATATTCATCCAGTAAACTTTTTCCAAGCCCAGGATGAACCGTACTCCTGGTATTGTTGCCGAGTAATCGCAATTTCTTTCATAGTTTCCTGGTTGGCTGCTAGCCTACTTGCCCCTAGCCAGGTCGAACGGATGGGACTTCTCGAAACGTCAGCCACTGGATTCTAGAAATATCAACCACGACCACAAAAGCAGGGGAGAAGAAGGCTAAGGGGCTTTCTTACTCTGGGCCAGCCTTCACGCGAACGACACACTCTGTCGGTGCAAGATGTCGGACACCGGTTTCTCTAAGATTAAGTGCATTAGCAACCTGGGCATTCTAGGGTATTCCACTTTTCTCAATATATAAGAACTTACAATCGTTCTATAAACCCTGGGATCAATGCATTTCCCCCAACAACAAAGATATTTGCCAGGAATGATGGGTGAAGGCCTGTGGGAATAACAGACAAGCATTGAATTATCATGTCAGGTATCCCCGGCTGTTGGAGCCCAATATCCTGGGGGTTGAACAGTATCTCCGGCACCGTAAACCGCTCATTCCCTAGAACAAGAACGTCCTCCGCTGCGGATGGATTAACTCCGGTCATGAGTCCTTTCCTTTTCTCAGCAGCCAATAGGCTATCGTGCGGTCGCATAAACCCCTTTTTGTGTGCATTTGGGTCCGGTAGCACATAATCAACCACTATGTCGGTGGGGCCCCCTTTTCGTCCTTTCCACGTCTTTTCCATATCCGTGTTGAAATCCTGACTGACGTAGCAAACTGCTTCTTTAACGCTGTTGACAATATGCGTTTCATCCAGCATATTATATTGTCGAATCGAAACCAATTCCTTCAGATAATTTGTAAGATGCTTCCCACCAAGTTCAAGTCTCCTTATCGCTCGTTGGATTGGGCGCCCTTGGTACACGGGAGTTACAGTCGTCTGAGAATAACCCGAGTCGACAACTAACATGCACTCAACTGGTAAGTTTGGTAAATTCGTATCCTGGCTAGGTGGGTCTCCAAAGAGGGATCGGACATCGTTCCAGGCATTGAGACAGGGAGCTGTGCGGGCATTACCAATCGTAAGTATAGGAATTTCCATAATATTACTCTCACATAGCACTGATTGTACATACCAAGGTATCGTACATATCCGCCAAACCCCCATTCCTCCATTATCATCTCGTCCATATTCTTTTGCAAACTGCTCAAGGCGTTTGGAGCCTCAGTTAAAATCAAGGTTGTCCCAAGGAAATCTGAACATTGTATATCCGGTCTACGAGCCGTCTTCTCATCAAAAAATGTATGTTCCCATATCTCTCGCTGAGCTTCCCAATTGACCAAGTATCCCTTCTCGACAGGACGGCGAAAGCTGACCTCATTCCAGTCTGATATGTGGGTTTCGAGCTCTAAACCGGTATATATCTGATTATCTCGTGTTTTTGCAAGTGCATTTGGGACGACCACGCATGAGGCCAGAGGATCGGAGCTGGAGGTCGAGCTATATCCAGCTTTCAAGCTATACCCCCCATTGTCGATGATGAACGTCCTTTCGGGAAGCTTCTCCGATGCGGGAGGGGCAGCTTTGGTAGCTCGAGGGGGTTTGTTTGGAGCCATTTTTGCCCTTAAAAGAAAATATCTAGACCATACTTCTGGAATACCTCCAACAGCTAGAGAATTATGTTGTCGTTTCGATGTTGATTTTATAAAAACTTCCATGAAAAAAGAAAAATAACATCGGAATATTATTTTGCCCCTCCTATCGCTTATCAGTGCTTATGTAAACCTAAAGGATTCCCGCAGTAAAATGAAAATAAATTTGATTAAACGCACCTTAGGCTGATATCAATACAAACCGTGGCAGCCCGGAGGAATATAGAAAGAAGGCGAGTCATCATGGCGGGCGACAAGAAGTTACTGGTTATTTTAGAATCGACACTGGGGCTTTCTACGCAGTTCATCTCATCTCTCTCGCTGTCCGCTGCGTCAACCTCCGGCGCACCCCGCAGCGCCGAAGGAAACGAGAATAATAAGAACCTCCCGCTTCCATTACTTTCAGCTGCCGCTCAGACCCTTAAATCGAATACTGGGAAGATCTCTCTCTTCGCAATTAATACCCCCTTCACTCCGTCTGCGATTACTTCGGTTCTCACGCAAATCAATGATTCAGCTCTTCCTTCGCTTGTCACAGCCGCCTTTCTCCTCCATCCAGAACATTGTACCAAAACATTCCATGCGGAAATTAACACGCTGGTGAAATCGGCTCTGAGAGAATATATTACTCTGATTAATGATATCAAGAAGATTGCTGTGGAGAATGGAAAAGGCCTGACTGACGAGGATAGAGCTGCAGTGACAACTTCTGCGGCGAGGGTCTGGAAAGTATGCGACCAGCTTGTGGCTGCTTCTACAGATGGGGTTGTTGGGATGGTGATTCAGAAGGCGAATGAGTTCTTGGAGCTTGTACGTGATGGTATCAAAGAGTTGGAAGAGTGGGATCCAGAGGAATCCGACGACGATGATTGGGGACTAGTTGATGACCTTACCGATGCAACTAAAGAAGAAAAGGATGAAAACGACGATGAAGATCGAGAAGAGATGGTTGCGATGCTATCCGGGGAGAAGAAAGATCTCCTTCGTTTACTTACTCCCATTGCTAAGCTATACACGGCCGTAACCACACAGAGGTTAAAACCACTGAGGCAGCAGCCCATCCTCCCAAAGTACGCTTCTAACCTTGATAAACTTATGGATAATCTCAAGCAGATCCCAGACCTTGTCGATGAGGCTGCTGGATCCCTATACGAACATGATATCCAAGCTGTGGCTTCCTACACAAGCAAATTAAAAAGTTGTGCCATATCCACGGTTGAGATAGTTAAGAAGCCATGGTACCCCGAAACTGGAGTTAACACCAAAACAGACGGACAAGTTGAAGCCGAGGATAAATTCTCAAAATGGGCCACAGTTTGGCTGAATGTTTTTAACGAGTTGGGGAAGCGTGGTGTTGCTAATGGAAAATGATATAGATCTTGATCTTGTATGCGTTTGAGTCACAAGATTATAGAAGACTCTCCTCAGCGATATATTTGATATACCTTGTCGCTAGTAGCGTACATAGATCAACTACAATGGTTCAGAGCCTACTTCACCCGAAGAGAAGAGAATAATGTACAATATGTAGAATCTTCCCCCCTCTGAAGATTTGCCCCGTTCGTAATGAAAAGAAAAAAGCCACCAACCATCTAATTCACGCGCTAGCCTTCCATTCTTTCATCTCGGCTTCACTGATTCGATTCTTCAAGTGGTCGAGTATCGCTTCAGTGCCCTTGGAAACAACCTGCCATCTAGGAACCCTGAATTTGTTCCCAGCAACTTCGAAACGGCGTAATGCATTCTTTCCCGGAGGGACATCATCAACTCCCAGAAGACCAGCTCTCGGGGGCAAGGCATCGATATCATTGTTGGCTACATCAAGTACTTGCAGGCCTTCGACAGCCTCGTAGGAAAGGCTGTCAAATGCATTATCTGAGGCAAGGAAAGTGACTAGGTTAGGGTACGTGGCGCGCATTACTGGCACAGGCCCCTTAAGACGATTTATTGAGACGTCGAGGAATGAGAGCGAAGGAGCCGAGAGGTTAGCTATAAGAGGTTCGAGGGACGTCAAAGCAGAAGAGGAGAGGGTTAAATTTTGAAGGTTCGGAAGGGATAAGGGTGTACTGAGTTCTGTGCGGCCGATGGGGTTATTAGATAGATCCAGGTCGATTAAGGAGTGGGCTACCAGAGAAAGAGCCGGGACTGGGAATTTCTCCAGGTGGTTACGTTGTAGGTAGAGACATCTGATATCGGATTTGGCGATCAAGGGTTCGATATCTAGTGGCTCTAGATCTGAGAGGTTTGTCGAAGAGCGGTCAAGGACACCGCGTTGCTTGACTCTCCATGCGTGAGTTATGGTGGCCGTAGGGCTTTCTGGTGCGAGTGTGAACTCCGTTTGCACGGAACCTTCTTCCTCATCCTGAGATGGTTCCTTGACTTCACGTCGACTGTTGAGTTCTCGCTTCAGGTCATCGGTGTCCATGCTGAGGAACTTCTTCTCGCGGAGAGGATTATTAGATATCCGGAGAGTAACAAGACTCTCCATGGAACCGATATTATCATCAATTAACCTGATATCATTGGTAGTAAAATCTAGATGTTTTATATTCTCCAGATCAGCCAGTCCTTCTGGCAAGGCGGATAGGCGATTCTCTGAGGCGATTATGGTCAACAAGGACTTCCATGATGATATATTAGGGAAAAACTTCAAACAATTCTGTTCTACGAACAGCTGTTGCAAGTTGGGCAACTCAATGGTATCTTCAGCAGATAGCTCATCCAGGTTATTTGTTGCAATGTTCAAGACCTGCAAGGTATCATGACGCTTAAAGGCTTTTGGAAAGAAGTGGCCATCCAGTCTGTTCTTCCAAACATTGAGTTCCGTCAGGGGAAGATCCTTCATCGCCATCAATGGGAGAGAAGGAAGCCTGTTCTCGGAGACGTTCAAGATCCGCAGCGCCGTTAGGTCTGCAATAGAATCAGGAAGCCCGGTAAGACAGTTCCCATGAAGATCTAGAACTTCCAGCTTGACGAGACGTCCGATATCAGAAGTAAGCATGCCGGACAAATTGTTCTCTGCAAGCTTTAGTTCTGTCAGGCTCTCTATGCTAAAGACAACGTCGAGAGCATCCATGCTATCAAGTTTGTTCTTTGATAAGTTCAAGGTACGAAGCCGCTGTAACCTTCTAAGTCCCGTGGGTAGACTAGATAGTTTGTTTCCGTGCAAGTCGATGTGCTCTAGGCCACCGAATTGAGCATTCGGGCCAGGTTCATCCGCGTTGAACTCAGCCAGGTCCACGTCAGGGAAAGCCTCGTCCGGGAGTGAGGTCAACTCGTTGTCCGCGGCCATAAATTTCACCAGGTCGACATTTTCATACCAGACGTCGTTGCTGTTTGGATCAAAGGTATACATGGTCATGACTTCATTGGGGATAGCAGTCAGTCCCATGGCGGATATGTTCAGAAGTCCTGACTTCCTGGCCGAAGCGGTTCTACTCTGTAAGGCGGCTCCGGTAGGTTCCATACCAGGCAGCTGGTTAAACGGATCTTTCAGGCTGTCTTCTTCAACAGCATCTGGGGACTTAAGTGATGATTCACGTTTTTGCTGTAGCTGCTGCTGTTGTGCTGCTTTGCGAGCAGCCTTTGCCTTGGCAATGCTCTCACGGAGAGCGCTGGATGACTTGGCAGTTTTCTTTGGTTCCGGTTCTTTGGGTGGTATATCGGTAGCAGAGTATCCGTCGGATGTGATAGAAGTCCTTGGTGATTGTTTCGAGGTTGTAGATGTAGGTGAGGTGAAGTTTGAAGATATGGTAGACGGTGGTTTCCTTGTCTTGGGAATAGAAAGAGGCTCAATGATGCCAGTAGGCTCTGAATCTGGGGCTTCTCCAAAGACCTGGCTTAGAGACGGCATTGTTCTCGGTTTTCGTGATATCATACTCTGGCTCTTTGGTGGTTGGCGAGTAGCTGCGCCCTTCGGAGTCGGAACAATTGGTTTATGAGGTGGCAGTGAACTAGTTGACTCAGTCTCCTCGACATCTTCCTCGCTTGTCCTGAGCATCCCATTCCTTATTGACGCAGCTGGGGATTTTATATACATGCTAACTGACCTCTGGGCCACGGGACGCTCGCGTGACGTACCAGCCGCAGAGGGAGATCTAGGAAACCTCGCCCCCCTTGCCGGAGGGGCAGGAGATGAAGGTGTTCCATTCAAGGACTGCCTCGAAGGTGATCTTCTAACCTCACCAATGAAGCCGGACTTCCTTCTACCAGGTGAGGGTGACCCGGGGATCTGAGCAAGCGTCTCGATGGTCCGATCTGATAAGGAGGGTCTGGAGCCATTGCGCGAGGGACTACGACCCTGTCTGGTATCTGCCGGGTCGAGAAGTGACTCGTTCAAGGGAAACGGTTTGCTAATCGATTGAGGACGTAACGGAGTAGTGGCGGTCGAAGTCGAGTTCGAGTTCTCATGGTGTCCGTCTAGAGGGTCCGATTCACTCGAGCAAGCCGGGGAGTAGGGCCTGTTGAAAATGTCCTCGGATGGCCGCCGAAGCCTCGATATCTTGAGACCTGCGTCTGCCTGCAGCCTGTCTCTCGACGGAGACGGCCTTAGTGACCGGGAGGGCGTCGCCGTGGGCAGAGGAAGCCGTGAGAGCCGCGGACGACCGCTCGTGATAGGTTTGTTGTCCATAGTAAGCTGTCTGTGTACAAGTAGCAAAATAGCCTCAGAGCTAGGACCAAACCATGGAACGGCTGTCAACGGTCCCTGTCTCTAGTCGAATAGCTGGTGGGAGACGCTCTAGCAGTACTCGTCGTCGCCCTGGTGGTATTAGTGCAGGACATGGAGTTGGACGGCTGGAAGTTGAAGCTCCAGGGGGTGATCAAGCCGAGCAAGGGTTGGTTTGGCAGTGATATTTAAGTATTTCTGCTAAGCAGTTAGCGAACTAGACAGACGTTGAACCCCCTTTTTTTTTTCTTTTCTTCTTGCATATTTGTTATCTATTTAGTTATCCACTAGCTAGCCTGGACTCTTAGTTACCTCTATCATATATCTGTTTTGATATCTGATCCCTTCGTTGGCTGAAGATGAGACGCACTTTTGACTTCTGTGCGAGGTCGAGGTAGTAGAAATTGATACCACAGCAGACAACGGCAGAAACGGAGGAATAAAGCAGTAAAATGTAATATGGACAGGTGATTGCCGGTATTCGTCTAGTCGTCTAATGCATATATCTCTTGTATTAATCCTCAACGGCGGCCGAAAGGAGCTCATAGACAGCGGCTCCCCCCTGACAGGCCTCGACTGCGCGACGTGAAAACCACTTTTCGCATGAAATCCGGTGGGATCGCCTACCATCTGCCTGGCCCCATAGTCTTCTTCCTCTGCATCTACTTGATCTCCTACTTTATGCATGTCATCTGCCTCTACCTCGCCGTCTTCGCCTTCGCCTTCACTTTCGCCCATCCAGCAGCCAAAAATGCACATCACGTGACGGTTGCCCCAGCCTTCGACTTTCTTTTCCACCAAAACAACCAAAAGAAAGGCGCAAAGACGAAGACGAAGACGAAGACGAAGGGAAACACCGACAGCATTGACTTCATCTTCCATCGCCAGCTCCCAGAGGCCGATCAGGCCTGCTATCCACTGCCGACGCGTGTACAAGGCATTCGACAGCCGAGATATATTCACTACAGGGCGGACGCTACCTGGCACTCCCCGCTGCGGTCTTGTCGCGCAAAAGCACCTAGCTTCACCATCCTTGGAACGCCAACGCAGCCAGAGCTGTCACTACCAGAATCATGGACAAACAGGGTGATACAGCGGCCAGAGATGGTCAGACTAGACCATCTCTCTCCCCAGCTGTCGAAATAGCGGTTCCGAGTACGCCGACTCCAGAACTGAGCAGCAGCAGTAGTCCTGCGCCAGACTCACAGGCTACCCAAATCCAGTCGCAACCTGACCGCGTTGACTCTGAGAAGCCCACAATACTTTCATCAGCAGCCGGGCAGTCGTCTCCTAGTATGACGCCTCCTCCATCCGTTCAGGCGCCGGCAAACGCGTCTACGCCAGCCCAACGCGCACGCTCTCAGTCGCATCCGTTTCTTGCGTCTCCCCCATCCACTGTCAACCAGTCACTGTGTGATGCGTACGGCATATCAGAACGTCTACCTACCGTGAGTGAGATCGACGACGCTGACGAGCCCGCGCTTCGAAAGATAGCGAACGAGCTGCTTGTCGTTGCCCAGGACTTCCGGATGTCAGCAGCTCACTTTAAGCTGCAAAATAGTCTCCTCTCTCTCACTAGCAACGAGGCAGTCAAGCGCGCAGAAGTAGAGCAACAGCTTGCCAAACGCGAAGTCGAGATCCTACAGAGTGATGAGTACCGCGTTCGTCGAGGTATTGCACAGGAGGAATCAGCACGCAGCTTTCAGAACCATGAACTTTCTGGTGCCAGAGCTAGGATCCAAGACTTAGAGCAAATGAATGCCACACTGGACCGCAGGCTTCATCGGGCAAAGCAGATCATCGAGGAGAAGTCAGACCAATACGAGATGCTATTGGAGGAAAACGGCCGGTTAAAGAAGCGTATTCGAGACAACCGTGAACACTTCACCATGATGATGGATGGCGCGTCTCTCCCATCAAGCCCCCGTACTGATATACATACACCGCAACGCAAAGCAGCCGCACAGCCACCACACCATGCTCCTTTAGAGAACTCACGCTCATTCAATGGTAAACTCGGCAGTCAGGACTTGCTGGCTACCCTTCTAGCAGCAGACCAGGTCCTGCACGGGGACAACTCACGCACCCAGACCCCTTCACAGCTCAAGCCTCGAGGGCATAGAAACAACCACGGCCACACCCGTGGTGCACATTCGATGTCTTCCTTGACCCCCATATCCCACGCAAGAATGTCGGAGTCAACCCAGCCCCGTTTCTTCACTCCTGTGAACAAAAAGATGCGAGAGTCTAGGATATCCCCAACACATGCATCCGGCCGCCTAGACGAGGAAGATGAAGGCCGCCGTGACCGTGACAGTACTTTGTCCGCATCTGACGTTGAAGCAGTCACTGACGAAGACGTTCCAGCGTCCCAGGCTAGCTCTCTAGCCACCAGCATGCTTCGTCGCTATCCAGGAACTAGCCAGGAAGAGCCTTCCATCCCTACCAACTTAGGCAAATCCAGCGCCATGCTGCAGACAAAATTATTCGGCCATGTGAAAAAGGCTGGGCTTGAGCGTCCCTCTGACCACATGAAGCGCAAGAGCAGCAACTCGCAGAGCAAACCTGTCTCTCCCAAGAAGGCGAGGGGGTCAAATCCTCTTCACCTAAATGTTTCCGTCTAACCTGCCTTCTCCATTGCTACTCGAAAAAAATTTTTCCCTCCCCCGTACTTATGACTAAGCCTCGAGTTCAGTTTCTTTTCATTTTCTCTTTTGATGAATGCCTGCGGCCTCCTTGACGATATCAGCTTATCGCTAATAATGACCCAATCAATATGACCTCTGCAATGACAGCCTCAGATAACGAAGTTTGGTGGTTTTGGAGTTATTTCTTATTTCCTTGCTTTTCTTTAGTGGTCAGTGGTTTTTTTGTTTTTGTTTTTGTTTTTCTTTACTATCTGGAATGAGGCCCTCTACTATGGCTTCTTCCCAAGGGCGACGACTTCTGTATTTCTGCCATTGAACCATGTAAAACGGAGATTTCTCTACTATCGGGCGTTTACTCTGCCACAAACGATGTAACATAGCCTCAACCATCGTCTAAACAACAGTATACTTCCTTGCCGTCTGTAAAATCCTCTATTTACTGTTGGTCACGATCATTATTTGCTTGTTGTAGCTGCTCCCGATCAAGTTGATATCGAGATGCCGCGGCTTTAGCCCGATTAGGCAGAGCTAGGGCTTAATAGCTGACTCAGCATAAGCGAGTGCAGCTGACATAAGCATCACCACACCAAAAAAGTTTCCACCAAAGTTGAAGAAAGAAGAACTTCGACTTTTTCCACCAAAGTCGAGACACGACCATCGACAATTCAACAACCGGGCTCTCGACAACTTGATCACCGGCCGACACAATGGTACGTCCTCTCTTCGCTTTCCTCGCTGTGGACGTTGATGTGCTGCGTGTGCTGTGCGCGGGCCGCGACGTAGGAGGAATGAAGGTCGCAATTTGAGATGATAGATAGCGGAAGCTGACCAGGGGATTTTCGAATATAGGCGATCAAGCACAACCAGGTTATCCCAAAGAACCGTGAGTTACCGTCCCGCTGAATGAGTGCGAGCTGCGATGAAGAGAGAAGAGAGAAAACCAAATGGATGGGAAGCGCGTGACAAACAAAAGTGTTTTGAGGAAGAGGTGGAATTATTACTCGTATCGGACAGACGACTGGGAAAGCAACTGGACAATATTGCAACACCATTTCTAATTCGTGTTGTTTTGAACAGACTTCCACAAGGACTGGGACCGACGTGTCAGAGTACATTTCGACCAGGTATGATATATACCACAATGAATTGCGGGTTATGGAGCGAGATGAACCGGGCCAACTAACATCCCTATTCAGCCCGGCCGGAAACACAGACGTCGTGAGGCTCGTCTCGCGAAGGCTGCTGCCCTTGCTCCTCGTCCAGTCGACAAGCTCCGCCCAATTGTCCGATGTCCCACCATTAAGTACAACAGCCGCGTCAGAGCTGGCCGTGGTTTCTCCCTCCAAGAGTTGAAGGTCCGTCCAGCCTTTCTTTCCCCATGTTGCTGCAATCAACAAGCAAAAATATCATATCTAATCCATTCCACAGGAGGCTGGTATCCCACGCAAGCTTGCTCCAACCATCGGCATCACCGTTGACCACCGCCGTGGCAATGTCTCCGCTGAATCCCTCTCCGTCAACGTCGCCCGTCTAAAGGCTTACAAGGCCCGTTTGATCCTCTTCCCCCGCAAGAGCGGTCAGTTCAAGAAGCTCGACTCCTCTGCCGAAGAGATCAAGGCCGCCAAGGAGGGTCTCGTTAAGAGCATCAACTCCGTTCTCCCCGTCACCAATCCTGCTCGTGAGAACGCCGTTTCTGAGATCAAGAAGTCCGATCTACCAAGCGGAGAAGAGAACGCATACCGCAGAATGAGAATTGCCCGAAGTGACGCCAGACTTGTTGGTGTCAGAGCGAAGCGCGCAAAGGCCAAGGCTGAGGAGGCCGCTGCTGCAAAGAAATAAAATACCAGAAATAAAAGACATAAATAAATGGAAGTTCTTACGGTGTTACCCCTTTATTATGTTTTCTAGTCTTCTTTGCGCTCTTCCGTTTTTATAATCCCCCATTCTCAGCCTCCTGTGTCATGAATAATGCGATATCATATGACCAAATTATACGGGGTCCAATTCCTTGCCTTCCTGGAGGTAATTTATTACATCTTCGGGCCGCCTTTCTTCATTGAAAGGTATAAAAAATGGGGAGAGTGAACAGCCAGGTGAAGTCATGCCGGCAATGCGTGGTTTTGCCGGATGGGCTTGTTTGTATGTGGCCATGATGTAGAAATGGAAACAAATTTGCCAAAGCTGTTTACTTCAACCGACGTAGATGGACATGCCCATGTATAAAGTAAATGTGATATTGTAGTGCAGTAGCTCCAAACAGAGAGTTGGATCGTCTCATTATTAAACACTTGCCCGCTTCAATTCTATATAAGTTCAAGCACGGCCCTATGTTCATTTGTGAATGGTCTCAAACAAGCCCAAATAGAATAACAATTACAGCTTCAACAGCCTTGACCAGCGACCCTATATCAACATCAACGTCGCCATTGTTCCCACGTTTAATCATCCCTCGGAATACACGCTTCGCCTCCTTTTCTATTTTGCTGGCTGTAGTACCCTTCAATGAGGAGCCGGATATGCAAATACTTGGTTCCAATTGAGGCTCGCTAGTCCATAAATCAAGGGTTAAAGGACAGGATACAAGCAACTCCAGCTTATTAGGTCCTGTTGAAGTAGAAAAACGGTAACTTGTCCTTTCGAAATGCTGTACCAAGTCTTTGGTAGCATACTGGTGCCCATCCATATCAGGCGTGGCGCTTCTAGATGTATCTGCTTCTCCTTGTTTCCTATAAGCTTTCTTCGCTTGTTCAAGATATCGAGGGTTTTCTTCGAGCTTCTCGGATAGGGCCTGCAGTTTCACCCAGAATTTTGATCGTGATATTGCGGCCTCCCAGTACCGACATATACCCCAACATAAACCGGATACATCATGATCTAATAAGGAGTTTGACAGCCGAGATGCGATCCAGCCTTCTAATGGCCCAGGGAGCTTAGAATCGGTTTCGGCAACGGATATAGAGAGCACAGATTGTTTTTCAGGGTCAGTTTTAAGGGTGAGAGGAACCTGGTAAAGCGACGCTGGAAAAGTGCCTGGTGGTTGAAGGGTGAAGTGGTATGTCTGCACTATATCTGAGGGTACTCCCAGAGCCCGTGATGGATTTCTCACAGTAGAAGCTACTGTTTCTGTTTTGAGGGTAAGAGGTGCGAAAACAGTAAGATACGGGATTGGATTTTCCAGCGGCTTCATAGCATAGGGGTTCTCGGGAAGCGGCGAAGGTGGTGGTTCCGGTTCCGACAGCGGTATTGACTGCTGGACTGTGAAAGGGAGCAGATACGAAAGCATTGAAGACAACGGTGGAGGTGCCGGCGGTTTAGGGGGCGGAGGTGCACAAGACGGATTTTTAGACAGGAGAAGTCCACTACGTTGTAAGAATTAGTATAACGGGAAGCTTGATATAGCAATATACATGGCTGTGGACACGAAACATACATTAGTCGTCTAAGAGAGCTTTCGTCCACGGATTCGTGCTCGGTAGTCTCTAACTGGCCAGCTTCCTTTTCTAAGAGCTCAACTTCTCCCTTCAACCTCTCCAATTGCTCTCTAAGAGAGTTCCTGACTTTCCTCTTTTCCCGAATTTCCTTTGGGAGGTTGTCATCGGGTTCAATACCGATGCTTGGCCGTGACTCGCCAGCACCCCGCTTGGGATCGGTAGCTTTGGTGTTTTTGTTCTTGAAAATGGGATAGGATCCCTCTTTCTTAGGTTGCTGTTTCCTTTTCACGTTTGAACGCTGGCTTGGACTACCATTGAAGTGCGCGATTGTCCCTCTCGGAGGAAGGTCTGCTTCTGGAGGAGAGAGAGATAGCCCTTGGCCAGCGTCATAGCTTCCCGTGGGGGAGTTTGACCCTGATCCTCTTTTATCTCCAAGTGTATCTGGCCCCTTAACTCTAGATATTTCTCCGGGAAACGGTTGTTCCCCAAATGACCTTCGCCTAGAACCAGGTCTTGATATCGTGCTGTTAAGCCGGGGCAATCCGTCATCCTCCTCTGGTTCCGTATGAGATGCACCCACATGTGGTCGTAAAGGTATACTACCAGATATTTGGGGCGAGCTATCAATGTGTTTCCCAAAAGAGCTGAGCTCCTGGCCGGAAGACCTTTGCGCTTTCTCAGCCGCTGACCGTTCTATGACCTTCGACAAAACGTCCGGATGGTATCGTGCGAGGCTCGATCGAGTAGGCGCTTGGAATGACCGGCGGCTCGGTGATCGCGAAGGGCTAGTACGCCCACGGCCATCTCTCCTTGTAGTATTTGACGCGCCTACAGGTATTGGGATGGAAGAGTTGGACTTGCGCCGTTTCGAGGGTGAGGGTATCATTCGGGCGCGCGCGTTCGCATCTGGTCAGCTATCCAGATAAAAAGAGCGGTCGCATATACGGTGCTTCCAGATATTTGTTCGAGATAGAAGATCAGAAGTAGAAGAAGAGTTGTTGTCTGCAATTGTCTCGCCTGTCTGGAAGCTCGTTAAGCTTGCATCTGCATCTGCTTCTGCTTTCGAGCTATCCTCGGCATAAACAAAAAGGGGACGCGATGAGAAGGGCTGTTTGCACTGTTTGCACCCGCATCCCACTGCAGGGTTGAATAACACCGAAAAGGTCGGTCTTTTGCCGTACAACTTCCAAACCAACGACACTACTCAAAGGAACAGATGGGGTCCCTATTTCTCTCTGAGGGGGGAAGGATTCCCTTTGGAGCAGCTGTATGTTCCCGATGCCTTCTAATACTATCAGCTGGAGGTTCTCAATTCCGGGCAATACCACCTTGGAAGACTCATAAGCCGAACCGACAAGCAACCATACGGTATCAACACACGCATGCGAAGAACCAAGGAAGTTCTGGTGGGAAAGTAGCAGATCAGATATATCCATTGAAGGGCTTTTACTCCGAGCTTCTTAACTCTCCATCACAACCATTAAACCCCAGCCGAACTCCTCAGTCCCAAGCTACCAACTCAGCCACTACTGCTGCTGTAGCTGAAACAACACAGTCAGAACCGCAAAGAGAACAAACACCGCAGGAGAAATTTGGAATAGTTTTTGGAACTCGACTTGCTGGGCCGGGTTATTCCTCCACACGCTATAATCCTTCTACTGCTCCCAAGTCGGCCTGGCGTACGATCAATGGGGTACCTATACCGCCACGGCCAGAAGAACCAGATAATTGTTGCATGAGCGGATGTGTACATTGCGTTTGGGATGATTATCGAGATGACGTCGAGGCTTGGGCGCAGAGAATAAATGAGGCGAAGAAACGAGATGCCCCTCGCAGAGGTTCAAAGAAGAAAAAGCACCCGCTACCTGATATGAGGCAAAGCCCACGAAGCGAAGTTGACAGTGCCAGTACAAGCATGGATGATGATGGCGGTGGAAGCCAAGCCAGTTGGAACACTGATATCTCTACCGAGGCGGATGCGGATGCATTGTTTGCTGACATTCCTGTTGGGATAAGAGAGTTTATGAAAACAGAGAAGAAATTAAAAGAAAAGCGCAAGAAAAATGAAGACAAAGCCTAGGTAAAACACGCATTCCAGTGCCGGATGCTGCGCGTGTTCCTGGCTATGAGATTCTTGTATACTGTTATAACTAGGAGTTCTTCAGGAAGAACCTATCATGGCCACTAGATATCCGTGTAAATAGTTTAGACATGCTAAGATAATGAATCAAATAGAAAAGCTCCAATATGAGTTTCTAAATAGGGCAACCGAATTTTTAACAACAGTTTGTAAATTCTATGGCTATGGTTCTTGACGAATATTAAATGAAGTGTACGGTAACATAATATCGTAAAGCTGCATCAAATCAGGAGCTTTCCAAAACTATTAAAGCATTAATTATATCATGATTTCGGAGGTTCATGACCTGCCTCACGCAGCAGGTCCTCAAACATGTCACGAAGAGACTCCGGAAGTTCAGATGCAGCCTATCCAGGTATAATTAGCTCAGCCATGAGTGACAATCAGGGAAGGGAAAGAAAAAACTCACATTATTCCTCATTAAGCCATGAAGTAAGAACAGGGCATTTTCCCTATCCTTCGTCTTTTTCAAGCGATCTGTCTTATCCTTGGCTGGTTCTCCGGGTTCTGGGCGTGAAATCGGGGTGCGTATGGTATCGCATAGACTTTGGATAACACACATGCTCTCAAGGCAATCGATTACAGCCTGAGAGCCGGCCGGATGAGATGCTATTAAAGCAAGAGCAAACCAACCTTCGCTCTGAACAATGGGCCACTCCGTTTGAGTTATCATAATACCAATAGGGCGTGCAACATCCTTATGTAATTCAAATAACCGAGTAACCAACTCCTCAGTCCCAGGTGGTAGTTCAGAATTTTCCTTGAGTCGCATGAGCGTACGACAAATAGCTGCTATAGTACGTCCAATCTCTGTCTTGATAGGGGAAGAGTCTGTCTTGCCAAACAAAGCAAGGAGCAGAGAAAGATAAGTACGGCGGCTGGCAGGTGAGTCCGAGTCCGAGGAAATCGGTTCCAACAACCGGGTTATATTGGTGACTGACGTTAATATTGTTTGACGAGTCAGGCTTGCTGCCATAAGCTGTGCATGAGGCAATGTGTCGATTGCCCAGAGTCGAGAGACAGCTTTGATAACACCAGCCTCTCCAAGGCATTCACGGTTGTCTCCAGCTATAGCTAAATTTTTCAAAAACCCTAGAGAACAATGAAGGACAGTCGCCTTCGAGTCCTCACGCTGTAGCATAGAAATCAGCGGCAAGTGAACCTTAAAATCATGTAACATTGATTTGCAGACTTCATCGTCTCGAGCAACGTTACCAAGGATGATGCAGCCACATATCTTGAGGTCATCCTTTTCACTGCTTAGCCATGATATCAGGGTCTCAGTCACCGAGCAGCGCAAAGGGTAATATTTTGGATATGCGGCAAGAGCAGAGATATCGGCCAGAGAATGATTGAGTTTGAGCCGCAGGGGTCCCATAATCGAATCTTCACCTTTAAAGGTATCCAGAAAGATTGAAAGGAGCTCTTCAACATGTCCATTTATAATGCTGAGCTGCTGGAACTTACCCTTCTGAAGGTATCCATTAAGAGCGTTCAATAAGCAACCGTAACCCTCTCCGTGAGATTCGGAGCTCGATACAGCATGTATTATAAGAGGCAGCAAGTCATCGGGAGTGGTATCGATAGATTGGCCTAGTGTGATCAGTCATGAGTCTTGACATATAGGACATAAGGCGTGACATACTTTGCTCACTCGCCATTTCCAGGAGCTCGTAAGTGACTCCTAATAACGCGCTGCCCTTCAGTTTCCCGGTTTCTAGAAGTTTTAACAGAACAATTGAAATTCCATTTTGGGCGACTTGGGCTTGTGCAGGGACTAAAACATTGTTAGCTGGGAAATAAGAAGAAATTAGAAAGTAACTCACTTACCATAGTCGATGCAAATATTGTAGATAACGGGTATAGCAACATGAACTAAACTTAAATGAGTGATCCATTGTATTATTGGTAGGGTATAATTCATCTCTAGCACTCTCGCTCTATTTTCGTCTGTGATTGGCAACGTTAGCCTTGAACTGTTGGGAAAAAGGGGCAGTGCTAGATATTTACCCGTGTCCGCGCATGACAAGCAGAGCCCACTGTTTGGTGGCAGAGAAAACCGTTACTTTTTGGGGCTGCATATGCCCTTGATACCCTACAGATCCATGCATCACAGTCACTTGGCAGACAGTGATAGAAGCTATCCGATGGTTTGATCAAGACTAGTAGGGTGTATTCTAAGCGCCTGGACTTTATTGGCTGTGAATCTCATGTGGGAATATGATCACTGAGCCCGGGATGGTGTCTGTACTTGGATATAAATATCACCATCTCCCCAGTCCTAATCGCTACATCTATTACCAAAAACTATTCTTTTTTGCCAGCCAAAGTGAAAACTCGCGAACACTTAAATTTTTCCCTGGTTATTTCCCTTACCACTATGGACCCCAGCACCATTCCAGAGGATGGTTTCAACGTTACTGACTACGGACCCGGTGTTATTCCCCAAGCTCTCTTCAGTGCTGAGATCGGAACATTCTATATGGAGTTCCTGAAAATGAGCATCATCGATAGGACCCCGGAGGAGATTGCAAAGCTTAAGAACCACGCTATTCTCAAGCTTGACTTCAAGGCCCCTGTACACGGCTTTCATGGTGTCCGAATTTCGATGAGTGTGAACTACGACCTTTCAAGTGAAACGTCGGGAGGAGGTAACTCTCACAAGCCTGGTATTATGCTTGTGGAACCCGTGCAGTATGATGGCACTTCTTTCAGCTCTTTATGCACTGCCGTCATTACTCTTAAGCAGCGCATCACTCTTGGACACATAATCAGAGCCATCACCGACAACCACCTCCATCATTTCTATTTCTGCACTGTGGATGAAAAATACTACGGGTGCCGTGACTTCGTGTAAGGCTTATTGTCTCAACCCGTACTTATAATTGACAGTGCTATATCTAATATATATTCGATCCCTAGTACCCAAGCTATCGCGCAGCTAGTGCGCTACAACTATATTTATCCCGATATCGGGTCCCATTTCCCGCAGCAACAGCCACTCCCGTCGAACAATCTATACCAGCTTCTTGGCCATCGATTCTTAACTCCAGGAGGAACTCCTTCCCCTTGTCCCGTTGATAAGGGGTGGTTCCGTTACTATGACCGAGTTTTCTCTGATGAAATGCGGTACAACGCTTAGGTACCACGACTATAACTAATATCGTGTCAAACCGCTGGACCAGAAAGGAGAGGCCCTTGATTGGCTGCAGAGATAGTCATTATATCATGGACAATTTTGATTGGAAAGTACTCGTTAGATCTATCAAGTTTGTTATATAGTATGAATTTTGAATTTCAACACACAGAGGTAGCATCCTAGTCATATTATCTTATTGCTAAGTGGATTTAGAGACATTATTGGATGATAAGAAAGGCTGTACTTAACTACTAAGCTACTCTCTCTAACCCCCTTGGCCCATGCTCTGCTTCTGCCCTAGGCCTGCATGCGCCAGCTCTTCCCTGTAGGCGCTTCCTTAGCTCACTAGTCCTCTATGGCCCTCTCTTTTATAGCCTCCTTACTATCTTATAGCATTATTGTGGTAGAGATAAGAGGAATTTTAAGAGAGGCTTCTAGTGAAATGGGCCTAAAGAGAAGCCGAGGGAGAAGGTAGCTAAGGAGGAGCCTACTAACCATCAAAAGGCCATTGATGTTTTATTCCAATCTTATCTGCTTCAGACTTTCCAAATTCCTGTATTATTTCTTCTCTCAGTACTCGGAGGGCATCCTTTGTCGCGTTGTACTGCTCATGGCCTACTGCATCCTTGTCCGGCCAGAGTGGACCAAGTCGGACTTTGAAATCATTCATAATCTGCATTCCACGAATCGCATTCTGACAATCAATTCGGATCTCAGCTATTTGATCCTTAGTAAGTGTAATGGGAAAAGCTTTGGTATGGTTCATGTTGGTATTGTTTGCCGGAAGTCCCGCCCATGCCTCACGCAATTCTACTACGAGTGCATGGAAATGAGCTTCACCAAACTCGAGCAAGCGGCGTGCTAGAACAAGTAGATCATAACTCTCTGTTCGTTGATACTCAATCGCATCATACGCCTTAGGAACCTTTTTCAACATAATCTTTCGTGAGGCAATGAATAGAGCCTTCTGGTGGAATTTCCGTACCGCCTCTACTTTTTCTGATTCTGACAGATCATCGATATTGTCAAGTTCAGGTCGGTCCAGATTTTCTGGCTCTGGGCCATCATAATCAATGAAAGAAGCATCAGGATTGTGATCAAGGAGTGGGAGAATGTTGACAGATTGCCAATCTATAATCCCGGCAACTTTGGACGGGTTGCTTGGATCAACAAATATATTCTCATCGTGGAGGTCGTCATGCCAAAGACAGGGTGTCGTGATACTCCCACTTTCAGCGGGGATGAGGGCATCGACAATTTGCAAATACCAGTCCACAGCGGATAGCTTCTTGCTTCTATCTGGTTGGTAGAGGCCAGGGCCACATACCATAACTGTCTGTTTTGGCAAAGTGCCCAAAGTTGAAATAGCCAACTTTTCCCGATGCCCTATTGCTTTGTAGTAGTCGTGAACAGACCTCCCTACAGCACTTGTGAGCACAAAAGGTGTGCCTGTTTAGCAAATTGTAACAAGCATGCTTACATGGTCCACGATCACACTCCAACCCAGCCCTTCCACAGTCGAACCATTCTCTGCTCGTAATAGGGCCAATTGTAAAACGACTATTTTGCACTTTTTTACCTTTCTCATCAATGTAAAGATGAGTTTTTTGCCCTGGGTTAAGATCTTGCGCGTCCTGGGTATAATAAAGTCCACCAAACCGTGAGAATGTCACAGAAAGCCATGCAGATTGATAACGAGCAAGATCAAGGCAAAGATTCATCTTTTCAACGAGTTTCATGTGGCTCCAAACTTGCCTGAGCTGGATACCAGGCATTTTCTCCATGACGATATATTCCACACCTACAGGATTTGTTGCGCAAGAATCCCAGGTATACACCTTTGGAGCCGGTGTTCCAAGCACATTACGGGCCTGTCAGGGTTAGTTGTCATATCTACAGCAAGATCAGTAATCAGATAGGAGCTCACAAAATCCATCGTTGCCACTTCACTTGCTGTAGTGAAATGAGGGCGGCCGGCGTTAGGGTTAGGCACTTTGGCAATGACCTCCTTTCCGTCGTCCATGGTTAGGACATAACACTTGTTGTACATGCCATCAGGGCATTTTTGTATATCAATACAAAATTTGGCGCCTATCGATTGAGCTGCAATCCGAGCAAGTTCATTCATGTTGAATTTGACATAGTGCCGTGCAACTTGATCTGCTTCGTCTACGACAAAACGGCCACGCGTGAATGAAAAGAGACTCTCACATGAGTTCCAGTCTAAAACGGAAGTTAGCTTCGAATATATATAAGTGATAAAGAGGTGCAATCATACCATCAGAGGGATGACCTCTTTGGCGGATGGACAAGAATGCTCGAGAGAAGCCGGAGACTCTTTGCAAGGCCGAGAAGCTGGAGACTCGCGACATCGCTAAGGTGACGTGTAACCGGTAAATCTTACATGGAGCTGGACAATTAAAGAGGCATTAAGGCTTGAATACTTAAGAATGTTGATGGCTAGTTATAGCTAGACAATTTGGAATATTAGTTGGGGGGTCGAAAATTTTTCTGGGGTTTCCAAGTAACTAGTTAGTTGACAATCAAACGATAAGGTAGATATGACTACGCAAGATATATTGTTTACATACCTGCATCGAATAACTATTCAGATGGTTCGGCCGGTTGGTTAAACGTCTTCAACTACTGAAGTATGCCAAAGCATTCCTTGCTGTTATTGTTTACCTACTAAGTTAATTGGCATCGACTACTGTGCAGGATTGGTGCAGAGGCTGGACGCAATGCTCTTCACTATTTACAAACTACCAAACGGAAAGGCATCGCCCCTTCAGCGTAGGCTCGTTGCAGTTAAATTCACAGGAGGCTATTTCGCACCTTGGAGATATTTGCTAGCTCAGCTCAGTCCCAAAGGCGCGCCTTAGGCAGACGCCCTGGCCCAGTATTGACAGGGCGATATCTAAGGATGTCAACCCTTGGAGGGCGTTGATGCGGAAAATATGCGGAAAGAAGAGAACGGATATGTTTCGATCCGCCCTCCGAGATGATCTACTGATACAGCTGACGAGGAATTGGGCACAAGTCTTGTCACTAGCTAGCATGGACCTGGTGGTAAAGGGGGCTTCTAGAGCAGGAACCACCATGAGTTTCTGATGAAGATAGCGAAGGGGGTTGGACAAGTCGCGAAACAAAGACGGATGCGGGCCTATGTCGACGAATTCTCAGCGTGGACAGGCCCAATTGAAGTGCTGAGCCTAAAGGGATTGTGCAGCTTTTGCCTTTACAGGTGGACCGGAGTAGGACGCGGTGAGAAGTGGAACAGGGACTGCTGGGATACCCTCCATTGAACAGACCTCTGAAAACCCGTTGTGCTCATTTGCGGTAACGAGCTATAAAGGAAATCTGAATTCCTTCCGGGGAGGAAGAGGTTGAATAACAATTTGAATCATCAGCCCACGAGATTCACCACAGACCCTTGGAAATGCGCTTCATAAAGTCTGTCACCTGGACCCTGGCAGCATCCGCCACGGCTGTCAAAGCTCTATCTAACCATACCTCTCAATATCCGCCCCAGCCAACTGCCGATGATGGTCTTCCATCGAACTTTGGACTGTTGCTCTTCCCTGAGTTCCAGTCGCTGGATGTCTTTGGCCCCCTTGATGCTCTTAATCTCTTCTCTCTGGCTCGAAAGCTGAATCTGTCCATCATCGCCGAAACAATGGATCCAGTTTCAACCCAAGTCCGGTCATCACAGATCAACAAGTTCGGATCTACGTTTGGGGAATCCATCATGCCCACACACACATTCAAGAACGCCCCGCCAATTGACGTGCTCATTATCCCCGGCGGTTATGGAACCGACAGCCCTAACATTGGGCCAGCAATTGAGTTTATCAAGAAAATCTATCCAAGTCTGCAGTATGTCTTGACTGTCTGCACAGGGTCTCAGCTTCTGGCACAGGCGGGTATATTGGATGGACGACATGCAACTACCAACAAGCAGGCATACAAGCGGGTCACGAAGCACGGCCCGAACGTGAAATGGGTACCCGAAGCAAGATGGGTGGCTGACGGCAACATCTGGACGTCATCGAGGGTGTCGGCGGGTATCGACTTGATGTTTGCTTTCCTCGATGCAGTGTACGGAACAGTGGTGAGCAACCAAGTGAGCGAAGGGATGGAGTATGTGCGCAATGTGGACTGGAGGAACGATCCGTTTGCGCATTATATAAAGGACGGCGAGCCGATGTCTTGAACTTCTTTTTAGTTCAGCGACGGTTAACCAGGTCTGGGCCTAGGCATCTCGGACGAATGCTCCAAGGGACGAGCTAAAATGCGGCCCACGCATAACCTAGGTATAAACTAGCTAGGCTTCTAGAGCAGAACATCCAGCATATTCACTCAAGGTTTTCATAGCTAGATTCTCCAACTTTTCCTTGACTACTCCACCCCTTTATCCGGCTCGGCCAAGTGAGTCATGAGGGCTGTGGGGTAATAGAATATTGTAGAAGCGGGCCATGGACGTTGAGAAAGCTATATATATAAACAGTTTGGTAGGTGGCCGTCTTAGATAGACCACAGCACCAACGGCCTCCAGGGACAGCAACATGTCGACCGTTATAATCGGCGGCGGAATTATTGGCGTTTCCATAGCGTATTTCCTTTCCGACCCAGCGGTGCAGAAGAAACATCCAGGAGAAATTCACATTGTGGACTCATCTGGAGAGCTGTTCTCGTGCGCATCGGGCTATGCAGCAGGATTCATTGCTCGGGACTGGTATGCTCCAGAACTAGAACAGCTGGGTGCATTGTCGTTTGATTTGCATCAGCGGCTCGCCGCTGAGCATGATGGAACAGCGAGATGGGGATACATGCCGAGCATTGCATTGAGTCTTCAGGTCGAGGGTTTGGATGGGAAGAAAACGGCCAGGGGCGATGACTGGCTCCGTCGGGGGGCTAGCCGGGCGGAAGCTGCATCGAAGGACAAGGGGGATGGCGGATCGACAGCTAACGAAGAGTATCCATCGCCCGCATGGTTGACAAGACAGAAAGGCGGTACGGTAGAGAGGATTAGCAGCAGGGACTCTGTCGCACAAGTGTTAGTCAAGCCAATCGGCCCCGAGCTGTCTTTATAACACGTTCTTTCACAGCATCTAACCGAGAAACATGCTGCAGAGACCCCTTACGGCTGTGCAAATTCATGCTCGCCAGATGCATTGAGCGAGGCGTACAGGTCCACAACCCGGCCAGAGCTGTGTCCACGACCAAAGATTCAGGGTCTGGGGTGATATCTAAGGTGGTAATAGAAGATATCCAGACTCACACAAGACGCAGCCTTCCATGCACTAATATTGTCTTTGCTGCTGGGCCGTGGACTCCTCGGGCATTCAGCTCACTCTTCCCGCTCTCCAAGGCGCATATTCCAGTCCTGTCACTCTCCGGGTACTCTCTTGTGTTCCGCTCTCCTCGCCATACCTTGAGTCAGGAGCGAGAGGTCTATGGAGGGAAGAGTCATGCAGTATTCACCACCCATCCGCAGTCGTGTGGGTTCAGCCCGGAGGTATTCTCTAGAACCAACGCGGAAATATACCTTGCAGGTCTGAACGGACTAGACATCCCGCTGCCGGAGGTAGCCACTGATGCTCATTCTCTCATGACAAAGGACAAATTAGCCCGTGTGAGAGAGGCAGCTCGTATATTGATGGGCCGTCCCCAAGACGGCCTGGAGGGAGAAAACATCGACGATCTCGAGGTGGTTCGAGAGGCCCTCTGCTTCCGCCCTTATATAGAGTCTGGGCTACCGATCGTTGCCCGTCTGCAGGATTCCATCACAGGGACTGCAGACCGGGTTTCAGGTGGGCTGTTCATGGCCACCGGGCATGGTCCTTGGGGGATCTCGCTCAGTCTGGGGACGGGTAAGGTTATGGCAGAGATGATCTCCGGCATGGAGCCCAGCGCCGACGTGAGCAGACTTGGCTTAGCAGCAGATATGGCTCGCAGCAAGCTCTAATATCACGTAGTCAACTTACTCTTCGTCTTCAGTGTTGTGTATGAGATGTGTTGTTGATAGTTGATAGTTGATGGTATCACAGCCTTGGTTACCTACCTAAAAAGGGGCGTCGAGCGCTCGAAAGGCCATGAGAGACGTTCAACGGTATCACTGTAAGATTCTACTTCTACCGTCTATCAGGATGCCAGATGTTTGCTCCCAGCTCGCGTTCAACCTAGTTAAAACTCATGTACTCCGTAGGCATCGACGACTAGCTAGTTAGGCTCAGGGCGGGTGCCTGGATTTACGTATAACTAGTTGTTTATTCTCAACCCTAACTTAACTAGCTACACGCAGATTTAGCATCAACTATGCGCGACGACGATCTCCGACCCGCAGCAAAGAACAAACAAATTGATTCCTTTTGAGGCTGTTGAAAGGCAGAAGACGAAGACATAAAACCGAGGCAGAAGAAGGGAGGGAATAAGGAGCAACTGCCTGGCGGAGCGGAGCTACGATGGCGGACGACGGGTATAATCACAGCCACCGCGCGTTTCTGCAGGCCTTCATGTCGCGGTCGACGATGACCCTGGAGGAGGCAAAACCAGTTCTTGCTGCTATATTTACTGTGAGCGGTAAGTTCATACTGCTTATCGTCTATTTTCCTGTTGACAAGTGCTGACAGCGAGGGGTTGGTAGAAGGGAGGGAGATCTTGCCGGGAGACATCACCCAGACGGACCTGAATACCTACATAGCAGCGATCAACACAGCCATATCGGCCTTTGACCTTGAGATACGCAGCACTGCTCACCAGACACAGCAATCGCGCGTGTACGCCCTCATAAACACCACCAGTGACCCGATGATGCAGCTTGCCACGACCTACAGCGCTGATGAGATCGCCTATGTCAAGCGGCTGCTCGATGCCATGTTTGAGTCCAACAACACCTCACGCTGCGAAGCCATGGTCGTCTCGTCCATTGAGGCCGTTAGACTTGCCCGTACGGGAGCCAATTTGAACCGGAGACAGTCGGAGGGAGTTCCCCAGACCGGCACCGCGCAGCCATTGAGCATGAGGGAAGCCGAAGGCATGCTGAGCCGTTTGGTAGCGGAAGGCTGGCTGGAGAGGAGTCGGGCGGGGTACTACAGTCTCTCACCCAGAGCATTGATGGAGCTTCGAGGGTGGCTGGTTGAAACTTATAATGAAGAGGAAGACGAGAATGGGGATACTCGCCAAAACCACAAGATTAAGACATGTTTTGCCTGCAAAGAAATTATCACAGTGGTATGATATATGGCCTTTTCCCCCTATTATCCAATATCTATCTTGCTTACGGGTTTTTTTACTAGGGCCAACGATGTTCGACTAGCCAATGTTCGGGTCGTCTGCATCAGAACTGCATTCGCAACTTCTTCAGGTTGCAGCAGGCTGAAGTCTGCCCTGTTTGTAAAACTCGTTGGACCGGGGATTGCTTCGTTGGCGAGCGTGCGCTTACGGGCCAACCACCACAGGGAAGATCAAGAGCAAGTGGTCGAGCTGCAGAGAATGAGGACTGACCTTCAGTTTATGCTGCTGAGTTTAAGCATTAATGAATCCAAAGACAATGGCCACCAATCGCCATCGTTGAACCATCAAAATACCCATGAATATCCCCTCCGTCAAGGTTGAAAAGGAGAATATCTAAGGGTTAAAAACATGACCAGATCTATAGCACGCGCAAAGCCGTTAACGCTTCAGTGATCCGTGCCATACAAACCGTTCCACTTCCCCCACCTAAAGCATTCCGCAATTTCACAGTCCACAAATGCCCGAATGAGCCAGGTCATTGTACATCAGCCCAAGATCGCCGGCGTCAGGATTCTGGAACCTCCCTCAGTAGGCCGTTGGCTCTGAGTACGGGAAGATGTATGACAGCCCAGGAAAGCCGCAAGAAGTCCCTTTCCTGCTGCTTGAAAGAACTTGCAACAAGAAAATACCCCTGCAACGAGGAAGAACAATCGGAAGATCCCATGGAGTCGCCTAAGTATAACCAAATTGTACGGTGAAACTGCGAATGGTTCGTTAGGTCAGTTATCGTTTATTTGATAGTACCTTACTACATGGATACATGTTGTAAGTCAGGGGCTAATATATACTAAAGCCCTCGACTTCGGAAAGAGTGTATTTGCCAGGTAAAAATCAATAGTTCTACCCTCTCTTTACTTAGACTCTTCCCTTATTCTCCCTTGGTTAAACAACAAACAGCTGAGCCAGAAGCATAGAGAGTCCACACCAGCGCTGTGTACTTATACTTCCTGGCTGATAAGATGTTACTTGCCCAGTTAAAACTATTCTCTGCGAATTTCTATGTCTTCCTGGACTGGATTAGAATGCACTGACAAACGCTGGACAATCAGTGGATGACCTGGGCCCGGATAAGATGTCCAGCCACTATCTGACGCTGCTTTAAATTTGGCTGTATATCTCTCTTTTCAACTTTTAACCAATGCCAGTAGTGCAAAAGCTCCATCAGTTTTGCTATTGACGTAATTTCTAACAGCCTGTATCCCTGCCTCCGAAAGGGGGTCCTCTTCCTCCAGCAGGCTCCCTCTGTCAATGGGTCCTTCCTGATCGCCGTCGAGTTCATACAGATGGCCAGAAGATTTGACAAAACATAGATAGTGATGGTCCACTTCGCTTTCAGCGGGTGGAGCTTCGGAGCGACCAACGAGTGCCGCCTCTTGATAAAGCTCTTCTACCTCTTTTGAGTCTTCTAGAAAGGCATTGCGGTCGGAAGGCGGAAGTTGAATCAGCCTATGAAGAATAGAGCCTCCTTCTATACAAAAAGTAGTAAGTAAAACAGCTATATATATAGGAGCAGAATGAAAAAAAGTGCTCCCATACAAGGTATCACTCACCAATTATCTCGGGTATATTGCAAACAGCATGAAGGATCCCATAGAGGCCACACGCGTTATTGATAGTTTGCTTAAACCATATGACCTCCTTATTGCTAGCATCGCAGTCCGTGTGCGTTACGAGGGACTTTTCGTATTCTGGACAGGACGGCAATATGAGAAGAAGCGCAAGGACAGGCCGTGGGATATCTATCGTGTCTTCTAGTGACCAAACATCGACGAACGCATAAGACCCTGAGACCCCGAGTTTGTGCATCAGATCCGTGAATATATCTGGATCAGACTCTAAAGGAATGAAATGTTTTCTATAATTCATCCTGATGTCTATCTGTTGGTGGTCTTATATTATCTGTCGAAGGACACCTTAATATATCCGATATTCAAGCAAATGTTGTAGTCTGTCATTCCTTCTGTCGCCTTTGGTTGGCGGGGGAGGTGGTTAGTTAACTAGGGAGGGAGCCGAGAAGCCCCCTGCTAACAAGGGCGCATGCAAAGCCGCTGAGTTCCCTAGCCAGGCTACCTTGCATTGGCCGTGAGATGTGACACCTCTAAGTGGCTTAAGAATGCAGATCGATGGCTATTGTACGCTGACAGTCGATCCGGTGTGTTTTCTCTCCGAACCAAGAACTTCCACCCCGATCATCTTTGTTGAGTGTCCTGGGGGCTTGTCCACATATTCTCTCCAGCCAGATAGTTAGCCATCATGCCAGGGCTGAATCTCACGTACGAGTACTTCTGCGAGGTTGTTGGCCAACTCACTCGCCATTCCTCGTCACCAGTAACCCCTGAAAACCTCAACCCTTTGATCCAACGGGTCCTGACCCAGTTTGCTGGTTCTACCATCTACGGAGTTGGAGGACACTCCGTCCTTATATCCATTGCAAACAACATCGGCGTTAAAATCTCGTACACCCCAGGCGGGGAACACTTGCTCCACGAGCAGTCTGTTTTCCAGCTCATTGCTTCAGAGCCATGCAAGCATATAGCCCACTCCCTGTTCACCGGGCCAGACGTGATATTTATGGAGCTATTTCCAAATGGCACCCTCTACGACCGCCTATGGAAAGCCGACAAACCTTACCCTGTGCTACAATGGATGCAGCAGCTCTGTGATGCCGCAGCCTGTCTGGAATCAGTAGGATATGCACACGGAGATATCAACCCACGAAACATCCTCTTTGATGACCAAGACCAGATTCGACTTATCGACTATGACTATGCACTCAAGGTTGGAGAGACCGTAGAAGTGGGATTTGAGCCATATGTTCGTCACCGCAAGGAGGATTATGGGATAGCTGGGCCGGATACAGAGCAGTTTGCTCTGGGCTCTGTGTTTTGGTTCATGAGTCGAGGGACTGAGCTGTATGCGGATATAGACGGTGCGGAAAGGGTCAACAGGCTTATAGGCTGTAAATTCCCGGAGCTAAATGTCGAAAGTGACCCGATCGATGCAATCATTTACGACTGCTGGCATGGGAAGTTTGAGTCCATCGCAGCCCTAGCACGGCGCGTCCAACAGACTGTCCTCGACGAGAGTCTGAAGGGGAAGCGGAAGATGTGCGAGGAGAGCTACAGCCGTATCAGTGCTTGCTTGGAGAGCGCCTCCTGAGCCCTAGTATCTAATATCCTGCGGAGCGATTGCTTGTTCTCTTTACCATCGCATAGCGAGTTAACTAGCTGGTTATAAACAGACAGCAAATGGCCGGAGACCTTGTCTAAACTAACTGGTACAATCCTTGCCAGAAGGCTGGGGAGCTAACAAGCATCCTTCAGCTAAGCTCGTCAAACTCAACCGCCCCCAGGACTCCTAGGCCTGTGTTTGACTTTGGGATCGTCATTCCAAGCTTGTCTGGTCCAGCTAGCAAGCTCCCTAGGAAGTTATCAGGATCAATACAATCAATAAAAAGGACGACAATAGTGGAGTCAGGAGGCAGTTCTCTTGGTCTGCAGTGTCAAGGCCGTTTTGCAGCTATATATTTTGTGGGTTTAGGTCTCGTTCAATTCTTGAAGCTGTATTTTCTGATGGAGCAAGTGTTTTATAGTCATCATTTCACCTCTTGACTCAGCAGTCTGAGCAGCTTGCGTGTGTTCTCTGCCCTGTTTATAATGCTGTATGCCTAGGAAGCCAGTGTGATTGTCCGTTGCAAAGAGAAGTCGTTGTTGGTTGTTGAAAAGACAAAATGGCCGAGGCGATGCGGCTGATGACATCATCAACTTCTGCACGTGATCTCTGTAGCTCCCAGTAATAAGGTTCCATTACATAAACTTCTGGGCAGGCTCGGGCCGCCACGTGACGTCATCTTTCCCCGTCTTTTCCAACAACAACTTCTGGACGTCCTCGCAATTTTTAACAAAATATCCATAACCAAGTCCTATACGGAGTAGTTACAGAGCAGTCTGGTCCAGCTAGCTAACTAACTCTCGGGTTTGGCCTACTTAACGACTGGGGTTAGGTTGGGTTGGTTGCATCACACGGGCAACTATGGCGGGATTCGGTCATCGACATTATTATGCCGTGGTTGAAGTAAGAAAAGAAAAGAAAAAAAAAAAAACAAACTCAAATACGGGCTCGGTGCCAATGACATGCCAGTTCCTGTGCCGTATTTCAACCATCAAGCCAGAATAATAATGGACGGCTAAGGTAACATTGCTGCGTCGGCACCTTGCGTGCCACTCTGCCAGGGCTTCCCTGCTGCGAGCTGTCGTGTGGCCGTGAATATAACTAAGCCTCCCGCCTCCTGCCTTGGTTCGGTCTCTTGATGACACCTCGACAAGCAAGCTGGCGGATGTTTAGCTAGTTATAATCATGAAACAACCGAATATCGTGAGTTGCACTGACTTCGACATGTATTTACCCCTTCGTGAATGAGAATTAACCGATGAGTCGTAGAATCTTGCTGCATGCATACTGTGGTTGCTGTCAATAATAACCGCAGTTGCAGCTGAGACTGACGCTGAGAGGAATACTGGCGTATTTGCCCGGAATTCAGCAGCGAGAAACAGAAGCCCCGGCAATGAGCCGCCCGGTTATGCAACCAGGTTCAAAGGTGTCACCTGGGATGTTGCAAACTGGAGGCTGACGACCACAGAGCTTGACCAAGGCCACTACCAGTCCCGAGGATCTGTTGCAAACGGATACCTGGGTATCAACGTTGCTGCTGTCGGGCCGTTCTTTGAGCTCGACATCCCCGTATCTGGCGATGTGATCAACGGGTGGCCGGTATTTTCGCGCAGACAGACATTTGCTACTATCTCCGATTTCTACAGCTTCCAGCGGAGTATCAATGCAACGAACTTCCCGTGGCTGGACAAGTATGGAGGCGATCTCATCAGCGGTGTTCCGCACTGGTCTGGTTTGATCTTAGACCTTGGTGATGGCAACTTTCTCGACGCCACTGTCAAGAATTCAACCATCTCCAACTTCTCCTCCACGCTTGACATGAAAGGAGGAATTCTCACCTGGCAGTATACCTGGAGTCCAGAGAAGCACAATGGAACATACGATATCTTCTACCAGCTGGTTGCTCATAAACTCCATGTCAACCAAGCCCTCGTGCGCTTGGAGATCACTCCATCCAGAGATGGAAATGTGAGCGTGGTCAACGTTATCGACGGGTACTCTGCGGTTAGGACTGATTTTAAAGGCTCAGGCCAAGATGGAAGTGCCATCTACACTTCTGTCAACCCTGAGGGCATCAGCAATGTCACTGCTTTCATCTATGCTGAACTGTCTGGTACTGAAGGCGTAGACTTATCTTCGTCTTCACTGGTGGATGATAAGCCATATATTCATATGAATGGATCTACAATCGCCCAAAGTGTGAATGTGAAACTGCGCGCAGGACAGACTACAAAGATAGACAAGTTTGTCGGCGCTGCATCTACGGACGGATTCAAAAATCCCCGACAGGCCGCCAAAGAAGCTTCGGCAAGGGCGCTGCGGACAGGCTACGAAGAGAGCCTGAAGTCCCACATCGCTGAATGGGCTACTGTCTTTCCCAGTGACTCTACAGAGGACTACACGATACCCGGGAAGAAATGGCTGCCACTCGACCACCATATCATCGAGGCTTCCATTGTGTCCGTGGTGAATCCTTACTATCTGCTGCAATCAACTGTCAGCAACAATGCTCTGGCCGCCGTAAAGAACGCGCCCCTTAACCGCGGTAGTATCGCTGTCGGTGGACTGACTTCTGATTCCTATGGCGGGTTGGTGTTCTGGGATGCGGATATATGGATGCAACCTGGTCTTGTGGTAGCTTTCCCCGAAGCATCACAGATATTCTCCAACTATCGAGTCGACAAGTACGGCCAGGCTTTGAGAAATGCTCAGACACAGCATCTCTCCTCCAAGAACGATACCTATTTCTCCCCAGATGCTGCAGTATATCCCTGGACGAGCGGCAGATTTGCCAACTGTACTGCTACAGGCCCGTGTTTTGACTACCAGTATCATTTGAACGGTGACATTGGGATGCAAATTGTCAACAACTGGGTAACCACTGGCGACACTGAACACTTCAAGTCGAAGCTCTTCCCAGTGTACAACTCTATTGCTACCTTCTTTTCCCAGCTGGTAGAGAAGAATGGAACGAAATGGACAGTAACCAACATGACAGACCCGGTAAGCTATCCCATCTATTCTGTCTTGCTATCAGCCTACTAACTAGGAAAACAGGACGAATATGCTAACTTGGTTGACGGGGGTGGGTATACAATGCCTCTGATTGCAACCACCTTGAAATACGCCAACCAGTTCCGGGAAATGTTTGGCATTGGAGCGAACCAGACCTGGAATGAGATAGCACAAAATGTGCAAGTATCTAGAGATCAAGCTTCTCAAATCACGTTGGAATATACGACTATGAATGGAAGCACGCAGGTGAAGCAGGCAGACATCGTCCTAAACACCTTCCCACTGCACTATACCGAGGACTACACACATGATAATGCCCTCCGTGACCTAGACTATGTATGTCTACTTTTTACACCTTCAATTAAACATTGGCTAACCAAAGTGTATAGTATGCGGCAAAACAATCACCAAACGGACCAGCAATGACATATGCCATCTTCTCCATCGTTGCCAACGAGGTATCTCCCTCGGGCTGCTCAGCGTATACCTATGGGCAATATTCGTTTAGCCCGTATGTTCGAGCCCCCTTCTTCCAGTTCTCGGAGCAACTGATGGATGACTGGTCTATCAACGGAGGAACCCACCCAGCGTATCCATTCCTTACAGGCAATGGCGGAGCCAACCAGGTTGCGGTGTTTGGCTACCTGGGTCTACGCCTGATACCCGACGGGATACTGCACTTGAACCCTAACCTGCCTCCTCAAATCCCCCATTTACGGTATAGAACATTTTACTGGCACGGCTGGCCGCTTGAGGCCAGCGCCAACTACACGCAGACCACGATCCAGCGAGCCACTAACCGACGACCGCTCACCAGTGCTGATCCAAAGTACGCCAGTGCCCCTATTACCGTGCATGTCGGGCCAGCAAACAACATTACGGTGTACTCGCTGCCTCCAAGCGGACAGCTGGTTATTCCCAACCGCCAAATTGGCTCCATCAGCACTGTTCCAGGCAACCTCGTGCAGTGCCAGCCGGTCTTCTCCCCCAACGAGTTCGCTCCCGGACAATTCCCCATCTCGGCTGTCGATGGGGCAGCCTCGACTAAGTGGCAGCCTCGACGTGCAAGCTCAACCTCGTCGCTAACAGTCACGTTACCGGACCATGCTTCCTCTGCAACCATTTCCGGCTTCGCGTTTGACTGGGCCCAGGCACCACCTGTCAGCGCGAAAGTTGTACTACACGACGAACCACTGCACCCGGTGACGGATCCTGAGAATGGCGACGCCAGTGGCTCTTCGCCCACCACGCCCGCCAGTTCTGTGACCGTGTGGGAATCAGCCAAGGTTCCACTGTCCGATCCGTATGACCCGATCAAGATCGATCTCAACATGATTATGTCTTACAAGGGGAACACCACGAACGTGACGCTGCCGTCGACTGTGCCAGCCACGAAGTTTGCAACTCTTCTGATCAGGGGCAACCAGGCCCTGGGTCCCGTGGAGGTCAGAGCCGGTAACGGAACCGGTGCAACAGTCGCAGAGTGGTCTATCGTGCGGTCTTCTTGAGCAGGTGGCGTAGCAAGAAGAATTCTCTCGCTACCTCGCGCTGTAGATAGATATTTAATGTTAATGACGGATATATTTATAGCTCCCTTTAGAGTGACAAATAATCAAATAATTGATCTCATAATAGTCGATGACTGCTAGCGCCAGTGGGTAACCCCCTGACGGTAGCTAAGAAAGGCTTGTCAGGAGTCATGGAAGATCAGGGCAGTCAAGGTACGGCGACTCACTAACTAACTTTACTAATTAAGCGCCTGGCCAGCTGTAGCTTGTCTTCTATCGCGAGCTCCAAGCTTGCTGAAGGAATATGGTGATCCTCCCGTTCAGTCGTTTAACCGGCCAAGTCAACTAGCTAACAAGCGAGCTGACCATGCAGGCTCATCCTAGTTAAAATGCATCGTATTAATTAATAACGGGCCAGCCTGGATGCAAATTTTCCTTTCTTGACTTTTACTTGTCGTGTGAGACTCAGGAAGAGAATTCAGTTATCATTGATATACTCCTACAGCAGCCATTTATCGCTATCTTCTTGCCTATATATTGTGTATGAAATGAGAGTAGCTACATACACCTGCCTATACATATCCATGGTTAAGAACCGCATTATGCATGGGCTCGTGGAGTCTGGCCACTATATCGGCCTATATATATATGCAAAGATGATATGATATTGGAGGATCAAGGCACATACATAGTGATCCTTAGTGAGTAACACGCTGCTCCGTACGGCCATCGACTTCTATCAAGGCGTGTTCCCTGAAGGCCCCTTTTGCCGAAATACCACCATGTCCACCTGTAAAATATCCCCTTGCAATTCATTCTCTGTTCTCTCTTCTTCTACATACTATAGCTTCAAGTCTTGCTGTCAAGTTACGCTTAGGGGAGGCCTCAGGGGCTAGGGGGTTGGGGTTGAGGATTCTGTATAGGAATAAAGGAGAGGCCACAAAGTAAACAAGATAACAATTACAAGCGACAGAAGGTAACACGGAATAAAAAAGAGACAACACGGGAGGAAAAAGAGAATAAAGCCCTAAGTAAGAGTAATGCTTTACTTCATGCAGCTAGATAGTTGGGTGGATATGGTGGCTTTTTCCCGTAGTTGATATTACATTTCTCGGAGGATCGCGGCCAAAGCAATGAATATATTGGACGTATATAATCACACGAGATGGACGCCTCTTCGTCCCCAGGCTCTCGCAAGAGCTGAAGAGCTGAAGAGCTGACGGAGCTGACAGTGTGTAACTAGTTGTCTTGCTGGAGCTGTCAAGGTGTAACTAGTTAGTTGCTAAGGATGGCCGCCAGCTACAGCTACGCCTTCACGACCTGCCTCCTGGCCACCGCAACAGCGTATCTCCTCCTGCTCCTCGTCCTCGTCCATGTGCCCCCGACCTCGTCGCTGCGAGCATGGCTTCTCCCCGTGCTGATGCTCCCTACGCTCTTCGTCTCGCAGATGGCCGTCTACGCAACCCCCGTCGTGCCGTTCAACTTCGTCTTAGGCGTCGGCTACGGCCCGCGCCTGGCCCTGGAGATGTTCGACCTCCTCTGCATCTCCAAGGCGGCCTACCCTTATCCAGGAGACTCGGGCTCTTCTTCCTCTTCGGCCGACAATGAAAAGGACGGCGGCGGGAAGACGGCGGGCAGGCTGCTGTCCAGGACTGCGAGGGTCGGCCGGGCAGTGTCGTGGCTCTGCGAAATCTCCTCTCCGGACCGAGGGCGCGAAGGGTATACAGAAGTCTCCCGCGAGACGGCGAGGAAGACGTCCAGGCGGCAGTTCCTCGTCTTCAGGGCTGCTCGGCTGGTGCTGGGCTATCTGGCGCTGGACTTCATCAGCAGCCAGTCCCTCGAGGGCGCAGACGTCAAGTTCGGCCCCGGCAAGGAGCAGATCCTCTCGCGCATCGTCGCTGGAGACTTCTCGGGCGAGGACCTTGGAGAGACGCTGGGCTCGATCGTCGGATACGCTGCGTCTGGCTATCTATACCTGCTCACCATGTCGGACCTGGTGTCGCTGCTGGCTGTCGGCCTGGGCTTCAGCCGGGCGCAGGACTGGCCCCCTTTCTTCGGGCCCCTGACCAGGCTCTATTCCATCAGAAACCTATGGGGGTGAGTAGCCCCATGTACTTCGTACTCTCTATGTATATATTATATGATTCAAGTCTTGCTAATTGCCTGACAGCATGGTATGGCACCGACAGTTGCGGGTGCTTCTCGTCGACTACAGCTATTTCATAACTCACTCCATCCTACGCCTCCCTCTGGCAGACAGCGTTGCGCCCGAGTCCAAGATCCTGCTGCTGCTCATTCGATACGTCAGGATCCAGATGGCTTTCCTGGTCTCGGGATTGCTGCATTTTCCCATCGACACCATGCAGGGTGTCCCGCTGCGGGAGTCCGCGATAGTGACGTTTTTCACTGTGCAGGCGCTGGGGATCCTCATCGAGGACGCCGTCTGCGGCATCTACCGCTGGATCACGACGGGCTCGTTCTCCCGTCAAGCTGCACGGAGTTTAGAGAAGAAGGAGCCGGCGCTATGGATGAAGCTGGTCGGCTTTCTGTGGTTGATATGCTGGGCAATGTGGTGCATGCCGCCGTGGATCTTCCCGGTCATCCGTAAGCCGCCCATGTCCGTCGTCCCCTATTCGTTCTTCGCCAGGGCTTAGGCGTAGACCTCGTTCAAAGAAGTCGAATGTAGTGCATTGAGGTGCATCATCATCCATGCACGCCATCAAGCTATCCCTAGGGTCCCCGGGGTATTTACGCCCAATTGAAAAGAGCCATCAACCATTGAAAAGAATATCGGAACAGAGATAAATACAATAATAGATCTCAAATGCAGATAGACCCGAAGGGATACATAGCATGTCGACAATTTAATTAGTTTAACCTTCAGCAACCTCAGCTCGCAGCCCCTGAACATCTTAACTAGTTATTTATCCCGGCCAACACGGAGATTTTTTTATATACTTTGACCAGCAACTGGCCACCAGCTTGGTTTCATCCAGAGAAGACGGCGATATCCTGGAACAGCATCGACATTAACTACCGAGAGAGAACTGGCGAACGGCAGTCAGAATATACCACTTATTCCCCGCGCTGGCTGGTACTTCCCAGGCTGAAGATGGCCCTTTTCCCGAAGGAAGCATCATCAGCTACATGCATTGCTGGTCCGGAAACCTGCAAAAGGCCTGTATCAGCCAGCCTCGCCTGGGTGAACCTGGAGATATAAAGAGGCCTGTCTATACCCCTCGATCGAAAGGTCTTCTGTCCATCATCATCATCATCATCATCCAAAACAATACAACAACACTATAAAAACAACCCCCCTTCCATCCACCTATATACAACATGTCTAAGCCAACTATCGCCTTGGTCCCCGGTGCCTGGCACACCCCAGCCCACTACGAGGAGTTCCTCGCTATCTTCGAAAAGGCCGGCTACCCAACCGCCTGTCTCCAGCTGCCTGGCGTTGACTCTGCTGCTCCCAAGGACGAGACCGTCGCCTCCAACGCCGCCTATCTCCGCGAGAAGCTGCTGCTCCCTCTGCTCGACGACGGCAAGAATGTCGTCCTGGTCATGCACTCCTTTGGCGGCTGTGTTGGAAGCGTAGCCGCGGCCGGCCTCAGCAAGAAAGACCGTGGCTCCAGCGGCGGCGTCGTTGGCCTCATCTTCATCGCCGGCTTCCTGGCCAAGGAGAGCATGTCTCTCTTCGATGCCCTGGGCGGCAAGTTCGACGACTTTGTCAACGTCGATGTATGTTCTCGCCGGCATTAATATCCATAGACCTACTCTCTTGCTAACATAACATGCATTAATAGGAGACCACCGGCCAGCTTACCCTCGACAACCCAACTGATGTCCTCTTCCACGATGTCCCAGGCGACGTTGCTGCAAAGGCTGCTGGCCAGCTTAAGCAGCAGGCCTTGTCTGTCCTGAAGAGCTCCAGCTCCGCTCCAGCCTGGCAGGAGGAGTTCTACAACGGTGGCCGACGAGGATACATCCGCGCCACCCAGGACCGTTGTGTCCCTGCTGCCATCCAGACCATGATGCTGGACAAGAGCGGTCTGGACTGGAACATCAAGGACATCGAGACCAGCCACAGCCCCTACCTGAGCCACCCCCAGGAGACCTTTGATATCATCAACGGCATGATCACCGCCATCTGGAGCCAGTGAAGGATATGACCATGGATATATGCATGGATGACGGATAATAGACAGCATTTAGTTCCTAATCAAAGTATAGATTTTTTTCATTTCCAAAAAGGGTCAAACGTGCAGTCAAGCTATGTAGCCAATGACCCATGAGCGGAGATCTATCAGTAGCTCTACCATCTAGAGGATTTCTTTCTTATTTTCTTTTCTTTTCTTTTTTTTTTTCTTTCTTCTCCTTTCTTTCAATTCTTTACCTTCTCGGCACTTGACGGGCTATCAAGGACCTCTCTGGTCACCCGGACAAGTATATCAAATGCGTTTCTCACATACTTCTCTCCCGCCAATTCGTTAGCACTCACCACTCGAATGACATACAATCCCTCAACAACAGAAGAGGTAAGGAAAACCTCCTTGCCGGCATTGACACGTTCGTACACCTCGCGGGTGACCGAATTGCTGTCACCACCAGCTACCTGGCGGACAGCAGCCTCGATGACATGGAAGACCGTCAGCCCAAAGGCCGGTGGAGTCACCAGCTCGAACAAGTCGCTTTGGTTACGGACGAGGCCGGCGAAGGTCATGCCGAGGTCTATGCCTTTGCGGATATGCGCCTGCATGGCCTTGATGCCGTACGAGCGCAGGACAAACCAGATCTTCAGTGACCGGAAGCGTCGTCCCAGGGGAAGCTGCCAGTTTCTGTAGTCTGTAACTGCACCGGCATCAGAATGCGGGTTTCGAAGGTAGTGAGGAGTGATGTCCAAGGCAGAGGTCAAGTCGACCCGGTTGCGTATGAACAGACAGCTATCACCATTTGTTAGTATACAATAATTCAATGTATTAGGGGGATAGAACAGAGGACAGACCTTGCATCAAAGTTGACAAGCAACCATTTGTGCATGTTGAAGTTGAAGCTGTCGACTCCCTCGCTCCAGTCCCGGGTGATATACTGGTACTCATCACAGATGAGCGCTGCGCCGGCGTAGGCAGCATCGACATGCACCCAGATCTTCTTCCACGACTCGCGCTCGTTCAAGACGGCCTTGATCTCAGCGAACCTGTCCGTTGCACAGGTGCTGGTCGTGCCCAGCGTGGTGGTCAGGTAATACGGCATCAGCCCGTCCCGTTCGCACTTTTCGAGCACCTCCCGCAGCGCATCCCCGGTCATGGCGAAGTCGTCCTTCAGCCGGGTCGGGACAGTCCTGTGTCGAGTGCTCACGATCCGGGCCCCCTTGGCCGTGCAGCTGTGCGCCTGGTCGCTGCCCAGCGAGACCAGCCGTGACTTGATCTCGATCAGCCGGTCCTCCCACTGCTCGGAGCCCTCGTCCAGCCCCTCGGCCCTGGCCATGTCGCTCGCATACCGCTCCCGGGCAGCCACCATGACGGTGATGACGGCCTCGCTGGCGCTGCCCTGGATCACGCCGCCGCCGAGGGTCGGGGAGGTGCTGAGGAAGCAGTCCGGCAGGCCCAGGGCCTTTGCTATCCAGTCCATGACGGCGATCTCGAGCTCGGTGACGACGGGCGAGCACAGCCAGTTGAAGGCCGGGGCGTTGAAGGCGGCCGAGTACATCTCCCCCAGGATGCTCGGGTAGGTCACCGTCGCCGGGAAGAAGGCCATGAAGTTGGGCGACTGCCAGTGCGTCACGCCCGGCTTGACCAGCGTCTCCAGGTCCGCCTGTATCTGGCTCCATGGCTCTCCCTCCAGCGGCGCGGCGGCGGGCAGGCGGCCCTTGAGATAGCCGGGCTCGACGTCGGGCAGGACCTGCTGCGACGGCAGGCCGGCGAAGTATTGGATGACTGCAGAAGACGTTAGCACTCGTCTTGGAGACCTGTATAGCTGTTCTGGGGGGTGGTTAGGGCGTCGTTACTCTCATCCACTGCCGAATGCGTGGCGGAGCGGAACTGGTCCTGGTCCATGTCTTCTTCTTCCTAGGCGTATGCAGGGGCGCCGGCAGCGGTCCAAACAGATAAACAAGCGGGCAGTCCAGTTCGATGCTCGGCCTGCTGTCTAGCCGAGTTGCTATGTCTCCCAGCCAGCCAGAAGAAGACGGACGCCCTGCCGGTGACTCTTATATATGCTCGGCATTTTAACTACAAGCCATCATCGGCGATCGCTAAATCTTCACCCGCAACGCCACCCGCGGTTAATCGACGACAGGAAGCTCAGCAGAGATCGGCCACAGCCAGCGATACTTGCCAGGTCGATGGATGTCTAGATCTCGCTCTCCTGGGTTGGACGAAGCTCGGGATTGCTTGATGCGATGCAGTTCCTGGCAAACAGGATCCCCATGCGGCCATGCTGAATCACTGCGCCATCCCCTAACAACCCCCTGAGCACCCGTCTCCAGGCCAATAAAGAGCAGGAGACAGCCGGGTTCGATCGGGCGACAGCGTAGACGGGCGCACGCTGCTTACACGGAGCCTGCAGGATGTGAATAAGTGCAGGCATCTTTGTTACGAGACCATGTTAGGCGCCCAAAGGCTGACTCCTGAGCCTACGATGCTGCGGCCCCCATGACGCATGCAGCATAACTGCGACTGTTATACGGGCCGGGGGGGGATGCTTACACTGCCACGGGCGACGGATCAAGCCCATATAAAGGGCCGTCGAGACGCTTCCTTTTGCCTGTCATATCTTCATATCTACCTGCTAGCCGCTGGAACGCGATACCAGAAGACGCTCAACGATGTCTGTCCTGCATGCCCATCTCCGGCCTTCGTGGCACAAACACAACAAGAGAGACTTTCGCGATAACAGCGTCAACCTAGTGCTTGTTGCGTGCGGTTGCACTCTACTGCTGCTCTCGATCTTCCTGCTCTTCTACCGAGCCCAACGGCGCAGCAGGGCCGCCGCACCCGGCCAGCTGCTACACCAGAACTTCCGACTCCAGAGCCAGAACATGCCACAGCATTTCGATGGCGTGGCCGCTGCTCCAGCTTATCCTGTACAAACGATCCCACCGGCCCATCTAGGCCAGCAACATGACAGGGACCGCCATTTCGATACTCCAGCTCCCCCGTACTACCCGCGAGAGCAGGGTGCACCAAAGCTAGACCAGCCGCTTGCTTCCTCGTCTTCACCTCCTCCGCGACCACAGTCGCCTCCACCAGGCTACATACAGTCAACTACGTCGAATCATCAGCCTGACCAGCAAACGGATCTAAACCAAACATCAAGTCAATCAATAGCCACATCACAGCCCTCACGAACGTACACATAGACAGAAAGGCACCTGGGAATTTCCCCCTCGCATTCATTTACAACAGCTTTACCCCATGGTTATTTGTTTGTCTTCCTTTTGAGTTTTAACCGAAGCTACGGAGTTCTACGGGTTTGCGGTGCATGTCTTTATAATGACTGTTTTTAATGATATCGTGTTCTTCTGCTCTTCAATATATTTCCAACTTTTGAGCTGAAGGAACATGCCAGAAGAGACTCCTGCATCCTAAATTACTACCTGATTGACAGGTCGACGGCGAGTCTGGCCCTTGGACTGTGTGGGGTACATCAGCCGTAATGATGCAGCTCGCGACAGAGGCCATAAATAGATCCATCCTCGGATGCCTTTCTCTTGTTGAATAACGTCGCCTGCTGAGACATTATGAACAAAGAAATCGTTTGCGAGGTTGCTCGAATTTAGTATACTGCTCTGCAGAGGAGGGCTAAAGATAAGTTTCGGCCCATAGATGTCTACGGAATGTATGCATCATTATGTGGTTCGGCTTGAAGTCCTTGGTATTTCCTTACCCCCAGGACCAGTTTCACCTTGCTGATGGTTATTTAGTTATCAAACTCGTCATAAAGCCCCATATCCTCGCACTTTTAGCTGAAACGCACTGATCGCCTTCGTGCGTTTTGACAAGGTTTAACAGCATGGCATTTTAATCGCTCGTGATGAAATGCAACCCTTGCCGGAGCGATAAATATATGAAACTCTTTTGATACACCGCTTATTATAGCCATAGTAGTTGAAGCAGGAGCACTAACTGGCAGTCGATGATTTTTAGTAGTTATAGATGAAATCGTGTCCATCTGAACGTACGACTAAACGATGAAGGTGATGAAAATGAAGACAGAACTAAATGTCTACATGAAACCATCTCGGGAGTAGGTAAGCCATCACGTAGAAATAAGCTGCTTCGGCGCAAAGCTGAGGCAGGCTCTGCTATTTGAATGTATTTTATTCAACTGCCTCTTCTTTCATTAGTTATTCAATGGGAAGACGAAAAAGCGACAAAAAGGTTGGACCCACTTATTTAGTTAGGTAAAAAGCGGGCCAGAGCCGCGTGCTTATTTAACCTTACCTTTTTGCCGAGCGCCAAACGCGCTTAAAAGCCTGTGAGATGTGATGTTCTTGGGGAGAAAGAAAGCCTGAAGGGGAGTATCGAGTGGGTAGGTGCTTGTGCTAGCGACCTGCCTGAATGAGAATTTCAATGCAAATTTTCCATCAAGGTTCGTATTCAATCGAAAGCTAGACGTGATATTGGAGGTGAAAACAGATTCTCAGGACTCTATTCATCGAAGGGAGGTCTAAAGTGAGAAACGAAAGTAGGCAATAATACAGAAAGCCGGGGGGTATTGTGTTGAGACATTTAGGACATGAATACATGCGTAGCTGTGTGATAAATGGTGAATTATAAACCGAAGCTCGAATGGCTCCAAGTATATTCTTGCAAACAGATTCAACTTTTCGGGATTGAAAAAGAAAAAAGAAAGGAGAAAAATGGCAAGACAAATGCAAGATTGTCAAGTCGTAAAAAAAGCATTTATGATGACTGAGGACGCGGGGGTATCTAGTCGGTGGCGTCTTCCACAGGTCCGCAGGTGCAGAACAGGTTCTGGTCTCCAAACGCTGTGATAGGAGTCAGTATAAAATCACCCACTTCGTCGATTTACCATAAAGGTGTAAACTTACCATCGTCTACCCTAGCGACAGTAGGCCAGAATTTCTTCTCTAGCAGCCAAGGGAGAGGATATGCAGCGGTCTCTCTAGTGTATGGGCGGTCCCACTCGGCAGTGAGCAGATCTCGCTGGGTGTGGGGAGCGAGTTTGAGAACGTTCTTCTCCTTTGGCTGTTCACCTCGCTCGATGGCAGCGATCTCTCCACGGATGGAGATAAGGGCATCGCAGAACCGGTCCAGCTCAGCCTTGCTCTCAGATTCAGTGGGTTCAATCATGAGAGTGTTAGCGACAGGGAACGACATGGTTGGCGAGTGGAAGCCATAGTCTTGCAATCGCTTGGCAATGTCAATGGCTTCAATTCCCGCGGAGGCCTTGAACTGGCGTACGTCGAGGATGAACTCGTGAGCGCATCGGCCGTTGGCGTTCGTATACAGGATAGGGAAATGAGGCTTCAGTCTGGAGAGAATGTAGTTGGCATTAAGCAGAGTGATCTTAGTTGCGTGGGTGAGACCCCTGGCTCCCATCATGTTGATGTATGCGAAGGTGATGGGGAGGATGCTTGCACTACCGAAAGGTGCGGCGCTGATGGGCGGAGAATCCACGGATGCAGGGCGTTTGGCGAGCAAGTGGTCGTTGAGAGGGTGTGAAGGGAGGAAGGGGCGGAGATGCTCTGCAACACCGATGGGGCCAACACCAGGACCACCGCCACCGTGGGGGATACAGAAGGTCTTGTGGAGGTTGAGATGGCAGACATCGGCGCCGATTTCGCCAGGCGAGCAAAGGCCAATCTGGGCGTTCATGTTGGCGCCGTCCATGTACACTTGGCCACCATACTGGTGGACAACCTGGCAGACCTCCTTGATACTTGGCTCGAACACACCGTATGTGCTTGGGTACGTGATCATGATGGCACCGAGCTCTTCCTTGTGCTTCTCGCACTTGGCACGGAGGTCAGCAACGTCGAGGTTACCGGTTGCAGTGTCACACTTGACAGGGACGACACGCATACCGGCCATGGCAGCACTGGCCGGGTTAGTTCCGTGGGCAGAAACAGGGATCAAGCAGATGTTACGCTTTCCAGGCTCGCCGTTGCTGTCGTGGTATTTCTTGATGGCCTTCAGTCCAGCGAATTCACCCTGGGCGCCAGAGTTGGGCTGGATGGTAACTTCAGCCATACCGGTGATGTTGGCTAATTGCTTCTCGAGATCCTCGATCATGTCGATGTAGCCCTTGACGGCGGGGGTTGGAGTGAAAGGATGGACGGATGAGAACTCTGGCCAGGTGATAGGCAACATCTCGGTGGTAGCGTTGAGTTTCATCGTGCAAGAGCCAAGAGAGATCATGGAGTGAGCGAGGGAGAGATCCTTGGATCCGAGGTGCTGGATGTATCTAAGCATCTCGGTTTCGGAGTGGTGGCTGTTGAAGACTGGGTGGGTGAGATAAGAAGAGGTTCGCTTGACAGACTCTGGGATCTCAACTGGCTGAACATCCTTGGATAGGTCGATGGCTTCAGCGCCCTTGTATGGGGAGAACTTGACAAATACCGAAAGCAGCTTCTCGACATCATTCAATCCCATGGTCTCGTCAAGGGAGACGCCAACCTTGGACGAACCGACACGTCTGAGGTAGAGAGAAGAGGCGAGGGCAGCCTCCATGAGGGAGTCGGCTTCAGCCTGAGAGCTAGTTTCAATGACAAGGGTATCAAAAGCGACACCTTCACCTCCAGCGTTACCCCTGGTGGGGACGTTGAAGCCAAGAGCAATCAGCTTGGCCTTCAGCAGAGCAGTGAGAGACATGGTACGCTCGGCGATGGCCTTGAGGCCCTTGGGGCCGTGGTACACTGCGTAGAAGGCCGACATGTTTGCGAGAAGTGCCTGAGCAGTGCAGATGTTGCTGGTAGCTTTCTCGCGACGAATATGCTGTTCACGGGTCTGCAGGGCAAGACGCAAGGCACGGTTTCCAAGTCTGTCCTTGGAGACACCGACTATACGGCCAGGGATCTTTCGCTTGTGTTTCTCGGTGCAAGCAAAGAAGGCAGCCTGGGGACCGCCGAAGCCCATGGGGACACCGAAGCGCTGGGAGTTACCGAAGGCAATATCAGCACCAAACTCTCCGGGAGCCTTAAGGACAGTCAAAGCAAGCAAGTCGGTTGCAACACTGAACATAGCACCCTGCTCGTGAATCTGGTTTCCAAGAGCCTGGAAGTCGTAGATACCACCCTCGGTATCGGGGTATTGAGCGAGAACACCGATAAGCTTGTCACCCTGGTCCTTGACGAGCTTGAAGTCGTCAGCCATGATATCACCGACAATCAGGTTGATACCGAATCCCTGAGCACGAGACCTCATTACAGCAAGGGTCTGGGGGTGGCATAGGTGGGAGGCAACAAAGGCCTTGCCGGCCTGCTTCTGTTTATTAGCTGGGAGGGCGGCCCAAGACATGGTCATGGCCTCTGCGGCAGCGGTAGCTTCGTCGAGAACGGAGGCATTGGCAACGGGCAGACCGGTCAGGTCAGAGGTAAGGGTCTGGAAGTTGAGGAGAGACTCGAGACGGCCTTGACTGATCTCGGGCTGGTAAGGAGTGTAGCTGGTGTACCAGATGGGGTTCTCGAGGACGTTTCGCTGGATGACCGGGGGCACGATGGTACCATAGTATCCGCAGCCAATGTGTGACCGGCCGGTAGTATTGATGTCCTTCTTGTACGCCTCAAACAGCTTGATCATGTCCGACTCGCCCAGGCCGCCATGCTGGCCGTCCCGCGGCAACTTGGTGGTGGTCTGCTTGGGATCCGCTAGCCCGAGCTCTTTAGCCGAGAGGATGTCTGCCGGCAGCACCTGATGCACGAACTCGTCGAGGGTCTTTGCAGGAGGGTCCAACACACTCAGCATCTCCTCAGCGGACGACTGCGAGGGTCCAATGTGTCGGCGGGGGAAGCTGTCCAGCGGCTGTTGGATATCAGTCACACCCCCGGCGGCAGCGCTGGAGTGGACGTTGCGGTACGCGGCCGTACCGCGGTAGGGGTGAGAGGCTGCGGAACGGAGGCATTGGCGACAGGCAGTCAGCGGCGACAGCTGGCGAGGAGTTGCTCGTAGCAGCACGGCGGCCTGGGTCTGGCGGGCAGCAAGTTGTCTACCGCCGAAGCGGAGGGCCGTGAGAGCAGCTACCATCCTTTTGCGGTGGATGTAGGTTAGTGTTAAGAGTGCTAAGTTTGTGGTATTAAAGCGAGATGCGGGATACTGCCAATTGAACAGTAACAGGGGCTTCTTTAGGGCAGCAACAGCATCGTCAACGGGGTTAGAAAGCGGGAGAAGACGAGGGAGGAGGAAGAAAACGGGCGATCGTGATGGGCGTTTCGGAGTTTTTGCTCTTCTTTTCGTTGTTGCTTTTCGGGAAAAAAGAACGAAAAAAACAGTCGGAGGGGAAGAAGAAGCCTCGGCCGACACTCGGGGAAGTCACATGATTATGTTTATCACGCCGAGCCAATCATATTTCATGAACGGAGGAAGATCTGAAAATGCCATTGGTTTGGTTTTAAAAAGGGGAAGATCGGGTTAAGATCGGGTTATCTGAGTGCTCCGATTGGTGGGTCCTGATCTGATAAGATAACCTTGGCAACATCTGGTTCGCTTATATAATACCCGAGGGGCTCAACTTCCCTTTTTTTTTTTTTTTTTTTTTTTTTTTTTCGATGCGTCTATGCATTCTTATATTTTTGGATCTGTAATTATGAAATGGGATATCTATCATGTTTAGCTACTCTAAGACTGGTCTACATTCTCTACAGTAACATGTTGATATTTTTTGAGTTTTATATTTCGCAGTAGTGACGCATTATATGGTAACAAACTAGGTTGGTTTACCTAGATAATAGTAAGAGCACCAACGGGTATATCATATAAAATGTTGGGCACCCCAAACCGGCTTGGGTATCTCTACGAATACAACTTTTATTTCCGAATTTGGTGATTCCAGCCATCCTTTGGCGTCAGCATTTAATTTTGCAGACTCGGATACTCCAGCCTCGATGGCTAAAATTGGCCAGTCGTTATTGCCGAGAGTAACGCAGCCATCTGGGAATCAAGTGACCATTGGGTCCTCGTTCCTCCCCCCCTGGCGGTTCGGTGGAGATGGTCGCAACTCCTTAATGAACGTCCGGCTTGTTGCTCGAGCTGCTCCAGAAAGTATAATCTCATACTGAAGACCCATATTCCTAAATTCGCTATAGATATGGCTGGGCTGCCTCCTTTTCATGGGGATGTCCGGCCATAGTGTCAACCACAAGTATACCCTCTCAAGATATTCTATTAATTTTGGGCCTTTATCAGGGTAGATAGTGTCAGACCCTTGAAGGATTTTGTGCGGTATCCTGATCACTATGATAAAAGAATTTTGCGAATCATTTGTACAACATAGTTGAGCCTTTCTATCCACTAAGCGCTTGATTTGATATATTGACCCGAGGTGTTCCTTCAGGGAGTCCGATCAATAGCCAGCGAACTACGAGTTATTCGGTGGGCACCAGTAAATATGCCGGGATGGCAATGTAGGAGATCGTGATAACGAATCTTTCAGTCTGCCACCGCTCCTCCCACTGGATAATGGCGGGCCATAAAGCAGCTCGGTAAGACGCTGCTGTTATGGAAGCAGATTTCACGGGTGTGGGAGATGGCTTTGACGGGTATATACACATCAAGTAGTGTGATAGCGAGAGGCCTACACCGTGAAGGATGTGCTGAAGGTAAAGCCAGTTTTGTTTGTCCAAAGGCAGGCGGTCAAGGTAATGGAGAAGGTTATGAAAAACTGGAGGAGTCAAGAATGTCGAGTACATTATATACTCGTGGTGGGCCTATCATGGTGGCCAGTGAAGGGAGCCCGTGAAGAGTACAGAATGAAGATACAGAGTGATGATACAGAGTGATTGATGATATAGAGTGAAGACGCAAGAGTGACGTTGCTTGCTTCCGAAGAGTCTGGGCTCGGCGAAGAAATGAAGGTGGGTCATGTGATAGTTAAACCCTAAGTGGACCTCTTCATAAAGGGGAATTTCCAAACATACAACCCCAACAGGTATCAATGTCAAGAGCTGGAAATGAGATACGATCTGCCGCTGTGTTGGCAATGGTAGTTTGGACGGACAGCTAACTACTTAACTGGCTTGTTGCTAGCTCTACTTGGCCGGGTGACAAAGACTCGCCGGTTTGTTGACATGGCTGCATTGAGAGTCAGCGGAAGCACCAAATATGCGGTCAGGCCAGTCAATTCGGAAATGAACAGCATGCTAGCAGGGAAACTCGAGAGTTGACTGGCTTAGATATTACCGGTTAAGGCCATGAACTCGAGCTATCTCCTTTCGCCTTAAGCATTGACCGTGAACTCCCTAGCTAGCCAGACGAGGCAGGCTATTGCAGCTCTCGACAACCAATTGCGGTCTTGATATGCCTAAGTCCGCCGTACTAACTAGCTAGGCTGCGGGCCAGGAACAGATAGGCGGTGATCTTTGGCTTTTGTGGCTTGCTGAAACTCGAATATCGGCACCACTGTTATCATGTCGGAAACTTGGATTTTGCCATGCAGCGGTGTGTTCTTCTTGATACTTATACTTGCATCCACTTACACACTCTGCTTCTGGGGCCACCCTTTCGGCTTCCACCGCCTATTACATCGTTGATTGCACCTATGTCAAGCATATCAGACACTGGACCGATTTACCGTGGAGATAGGGACTCGGTATAAGATTTGTTCGCCCCCTCGGCATCCAATGGCCCGAAACGGTTACCAAGTGATTTGCTAGCGGTTGACACCAGCTCCATCTTATCAAGCAGACCCCCATGGATACAAGGACCAATAGGGAATGGACATTCTCCACATTCGAGAATGAACTGGAGATACAAAAGCTCTTCAATAAGGATCCTATGATAAGACAGCTTGGCTATGTACTGGAATATGACTTGTAGCACCAATGATGGTTCTACAAGCTCCTGTTGTTGGCAAGCTTGGCATACCAGGTCTCTCACCTTCAAGCAGACAAAGGGCTCATGAACGGCATACTCCTTGTAGTATCTGTACAGTTCATATGAAGGGACTGTTTTATACCGGTAATCATACACCCATCCTCAAACTATTGGTTGTAGATCCAACTACGATATAATTATCAGACTTAGAGATGGGGAATTTATGATGGACGGTTTTGACCCGTCAAAGCCAAATGAAAATGCACAGAATATCATCGTCAGGCTTACAGATTATGGAGCGAGTCGGTATTTCCATTTCTCCCACCTTTGACTCTTATCTTCCCAAATATTCTCCTCTCTTATTGACTCTTACCGTACGGAGTAGTTGGCAGACCAACTAATAAGTTATAGTGCGCTTACCTATTGAAGCCCAGGAGTCCACTTTGGAAAACCATGGACGCAAAACACTGATGTCTGGTCTTGGACATAGTTGACGGTGATATCACTCAAGGCCACTCCATACTACCACGAGTATATAGCCTCTGCAGATGGCTCAACTGCTTCAGGAGAAGGTTGACTTCAAGTTCTTTACGATTCAACAAGCCAACTCGGAACTCTCGAAGAAAGTTCTCGGACTCTTCGCAATACATTGGCAATCGATTATGATCTTGTGTCCGTGCCGTGCTACGCTAAGGATGAGCATTATTCTAAATTGTTGCCTCCACCTCAGCCGGGTGAAGCGTACATGTGGGGAAATTCCGTAGTTGAGAATGAGTAGCAGATGAGGACGTTTAATTTCTCGCTAGGGTCCTATACTAAGATCCTGATGCGCGCTTGACTGTCTGTGGGATTCTAGAGTGACTATCTGGAGGTGTAATTCCCGCCGATACCAGTTCCAATGCAAGTGAACAGCTACCCCATCATTTTGCAAATACAAAGGAAAACCAATAGTCGAGTAATTTTAATAGAAGATTACCCGTGCAACTTATTAATTCACTATCAATCTTCAAATATAGCGATTTTCTCCTCGGTGGTTGTCCCTAACCACCCGCACCCTGATACTAACGAAAGGCCTCCAGACAAAGACGCGTCTACCACTCCGACGGCCTACCTCTCCCAGTCTCCTCTGCGAGTTCCGATGGCAATGAATCCAACTCAGCCCTGGCAGTCTCCTCCGTTAAGTGTTTGGCATGCTCAAAATCGACCAGCCGTATATTCCCCGTCTCATCGTCGATCAGAAAGTTATACCGATTGATATCTCCATGGACAATCCCTATATCATGGACTCTGCGAACAACCTCTTCGCACCTTGCTAAATCGTCTGGTCCCGGAAATCGACCATTTACTTTCTCCAGCAGCAAGCCCATCACTCTGCCGTCTTCGGTCAAATGAGCGAGAACTTGGGGTGCAATGGGCGGGTCCTCAGGGTGGGCGCACTGATCTTGGTAGATAAATGAGTAGACAGCAGTCTCGTTCTCCATGCGCGGGAGCTCCCACTCCCACCGTACGATTTTCGCAATCGCTGGTGCTCCGTTGAAGATCACTTCGTGAACGTTGTGTCGGTAGTATCGAGTGCGTTTGAGGGAGAGGACCTCAAACTTTCTCTGGATGCCATACAAAACCAACCCCCTGTAGCTTAACATCTGAGGTTGTAACTTTTAATGAACCATCATTTGAGCGACAGATGTCCATCTTCGTCCACGGAGCGTTGGGGAAGCTGGGAAGTTCTGGAATCAATAGATACGGTCGACACATCGTATCTTCATCAAATGCATCTACCTCAATCGTAAGATAGCGGATTTTATTGCCGGTTCGAATGCGATACATCCCGAGCTCGTTATCGATCTCCTGGGACAAGACCTCTATGTCTGACTTGGGTATATAGTGCGCATTATCTGACTCCAATGATGACTCCATGGTTGTGTGTCAATAGAAGAGAGGATGATGAGATGAATCCGTTTGAACAGGAGAGGGCTATCTCTTTGGATGTTAGGGGTTAACTGTTGAATACTGCGATAGAGAATGTTATCTTGGATAATCTCATTAACAGCGAGTTATCTGTCTGTCTGGGCTGCTAATAAATTAGTTAACTAACTAGTTAGTTAGCCGCTGGCCCCCAAAGCTGCACAGGCGGGCCATCTGAAACCCTCATTCCAACATCTAATGACTGGCGCCAGTATAATGACAGGAAACAGGGTATGGATAAAACAAAAGCGCTAATACGAACCCATTGTTGGGCACTATCAATAGATAAGTGTCATGCACTCATTCCTCCTGTGTGGAGTAAGTTGGGGGCCATAATAATATACCTAGCTGAAGCCGAACCCGAAGAAACACGGAAAGAGATATTCATAGCCAATGGACTGATTTGAAACCCACACAAACAAGACACGGCGCTTATACCTAGATGCATAATCTAGTCAACTATCCCGCATCCTACCCTATGTTGGTGGGGGCCAGGGGGAAGGGTGCTTAACATAGACAAGTCGCGACAGAGCTCATGGTGATCTACGCCAGCGCAGGTATACTGGGGGCAATCAGCGCTATGCCAGCGCTAAGCGGCAAGGCACAGAGAGCTCTCTAGATCAATGGAAAGCATATATAGAAGACGCATACCACCGTCTGGAGAGTCCAAATCATCAAGCATTCAACCACGAGGTTTCTAATCCCATTGACCGGTGGTAAGTTATCTGGCTGTCCTATATTCATGTACCTTTGGCTGATAAGAATTGATATACAAAAGATCAATCCATTATCCATATCCTAGGAGGACTGTGAGTAGTGCACTGTAGCATTACCTTCATACTTATGACGTCCAGTTTACCAATCCTCACCTGATATCTAGATAATCATTGCTGTCCCGAGAGTCCGCATAAAATGTGCACCCAAGAGTGGGTCCAATACCAATGCGGCTGCCAGCAAAAAGGGGAGTTCGTGCAGTGTGATCGACTGTATAATCTGCAGACCAACGTCCGGTGCAATTCGGCAGGCCGCGAAAACAAGGTTTCCCGTAACTACTGTCGTGGGCACATGCCAAGTGAGGACAAAGCTTGGACCCAATACACTGGCCGCAACCCTCCTGACCCGCCCTCTTCTCGCCCTACCCGTACCACCCGCTCCACCCGCTCTACCCGCTCCACCGGCACACGTTAATTCATTGAACAAGCTAGGGATTGACGAGGACTCTAAGGGGTGGGATCAAGAAGAGGTGCTGTGCTGGGACAGCAAGGTTAACTGATATGTACTTTGGGTCAACAGACGGCAGGCATGCAGTTAAATAGAACAGAAGGTTAAACGTAAGAGCCAGGTACAGAATAATAGATTATAATTGTGTTTGGTGAAATCATTCATGATTCTATTTTGCTATAGACATTAGTTACTGTAACTGAGCCGATCAACGCTGGTTACTTAGTTGTGTTGATCGTTAAGCTGTTAATCGCCCGTAGGCTGAACCTAGAGCTAAGTTACTGTCAAACTTCAGCTCTGCTTTTCCATTGTTTAGCTAGACGTCGAGGCATTCGTTTGCTGCTCCGTTGTGCTCAGGAGCTCAAGTCACGTGACGTTCCCTCCAGCTTCCGGGAAAATATATAGCTTAGTTAGCTTCCTGCAAATTCTGCATGTCAGTAAGTATGCAAGCTCAATATTAATATTATTAGTACTAATCTAACACGGTTATTCTTTCAATTCGGCGCTTTAATCAATAATTTCAATCTTCTGCTATTATTTTGACAGTTACCTAAACAATAACTAACAGTTAGCTGATTGGGCTGTATCTCGGATTTTCACCAGTAATAAAATTAGCGTAAGTTACACTATAAAAGTCTAATAAAGAATATAATTATTTAATTGGCTGCACTAGTTTGTTAAACTCACATTAACATTTGGTAACGAGGTAGGAATTGCGAACTCCGCGCTTAACTGCTCATCATTTCTTTCCCCAGGTTAACAAGCCGGACGACATATCTACTGGACCCTAGATCTATTTTGCGGCTCTGCTAGCGCCATGGCCGAACTTCCAGATGATGGGAAACTAGTTCAGAGGCTTTCCCATCGTCCATCTCACTTGGTAGGCGGAATGATACCAATTACAGAACCGGTGAAGCCATCACAAGCTAATCGCCGCTCTGACATATCGTCTGCCGGGATGCTAGACCGCCTACCGCTCGAAGTACTCCATCAGATATTGAACACGTTGGATTTCCAGTCTCTGTGTCGTTTGTCACGCGTGTCACGGCGAGGCAGAAGCATCGTCGAGTCGTTGCCTACATACAGAGCGTTGATGGAATATATTCCAGACGCGTTGAAAGCACTTGGTGAAACCCGGCTTATTCAACTCCACTCTGCAGATCAACTCCGCGCCGTGCTACAGTCTGAAGCCTGCGTTTCATGCAGAGAATATGGCCCCTTTCTATTTCTCCCCACATGCGAGCGATGTTGCTATACTTGTCTTCGTTATAACCAGTCACTGTGGGTGATGCCTCTTTCTCTAGCTAAGCAGTCCTTCGGCCTGACTCAGCGCGACCTCAAGAAGCTCCCCTTAGTAAAGACGGTGCCTGGAATGTATGACCTGGCCAGAGGGTGGTCACATCGAGGAAGCCAGACGCTCGTCAGTGTGAGGCATGCAAAGGAATACGCAATGAAGATTAATAACGGCTCACTGCCAGACGTAGATACGACCATCACTCCTGAAATGTCTGACAGAATGATAAGGAAAATGAATGTTTTGAGATGGTTCAGGGAAGCTCCCTTGGAACCGCTGCCTGACAACCCATCAAGGATACCAACACGTGGAGGCATGCCGGATAACGATTGCAATGGCATGGCATCCCTCCCGTTTCCATCTCTACGACGCAATAAGACGCTTGACCATGGCTTCTGGTGCCGGGGATGTGATTGGATGGCCGAAAAATATCACCGCCGTCGTCTCCCTGACCATATTATTGACAAACTCGTTCCTTCAGGATTGCACCCTTTCAACGTCTTCGCAGGCCTGAGCCGGCGTGCTCGATCACAGGGCGAGTTTTTACTCCATATTAAGCAGTGTTACGGGGCGGATAAAGTAGACGCTCAAAATTGAGAGTAGTTACAACTTCCATTGGCCTATCTAGATAGAGGGGATTTTTACTAATATATACTATTAATAAAAAAGTAAAAAAAAAGTAAAAGGAAAAATCAAAATATATATAAATAAAAAATATTAATTATAAATAAAAAAATCAAAT